GCGGAGAGACTAGGAACGGTCAGTAACGCAACGGCAGGGTTCGGCGGGAGTAAGCTTACCAGTCGACCGTGTACAGCGACCAGAACAGCTTCTTTCGTGTTTCACTCGTCAGTGCATCGAGCGCGAAGCGCTTCTGTGACTGATGCAAGCCAAGACGTTGCGACAGGCCGACGGCCAGTCCCTTGTACTTGAGCACGCGGGAATAGTCGGCCCTCAGCAGACAGAAGATCTGGGCAAGGACGAGACTTTGCAGCGTTGCGACGTCATTCTCCATCAAGAAGCTCTCAATAGCGCTCTGCCATTGAGTCTCGAAGGACTCGACATCTTGTCCGTCGCGGGGCTTTAAAAAGTCAGTAAAAGGCTGGCATGTGTCGTAAGGCATACATACATCGCTAGACAGCGCGGCAATTCCGAAAACCAAGTTGAGTTGTGCAATCGACTTCTTGTCACTCATGGTATCGGGACTGGCCACATACTGTTCGTAGAGCGACAAGAAAGTGGGGCGATGGAGAATCGGAAACAGAGGTGCCCATTCTTGGAAGAAAATGTTGATCATCTGATCCGAGACCAGACGTGGAGGAGCCTTGAAGGAAACGATTCGCTTGGAAAGAGTAGAAGCTTGTCGCGCTCCAGCGCCGAAGAAAGCGCTCGAGTTGATGTCGGTGGATAGTCTACCCGTCTCCTGTGCTTTTTGCTTGAACGCCTCTGTGGAATGTTAGATGTGCTGTATGCGGCGTTGGGGACCGTGAGTCATACCAACAAGTGTTCTTCCACTCGAGCTGCCCACGAAATACGAATCTCTGTTCAGGTCGTCAAGTAGAAGCGGTGCCTGCTGCACCTTGAATGTGTCGTCTTTTTCTTGTGATTCCTCTCGAACTTCCGAAGATCCCGGTGAATGCATCGAGGGTCGCCTGGCAGTAGGGAACGCTGTTGGAGAGCGCGCGTGCATGCGTGATAACATGTCAATCTTCTCGTCCTTTTCGTCAAGTAGATCCTTCAGGTCGCGGACCTCTGCTTCCAATACCCGTACTCGCTCTTCCAACGACTCAGTGTATCCTCTGGGGAATGCACGGCGGCTGAGCTTGTCACTCGTCTTGCACTCGAATCCGACATTTGTGCATTGCGTGCAGCTGGGGCGGATGCCGTCGCATCGTATTTTCTTTGAGCGGCATCGGTCGCAGGCTTGGGCGATGCGGCTCTGGCAGCTTGAGCCGACCTTGATCACTTTCATGGGTAGTATCCCAGGCATTTTGGGCGTCGTTCGTTGGGCGTCGTTGGTGGTGTAGTAGTTTTCATCCAAAGGCCCAATGGGCGGTCACTGATAGGTCGTGTCACGTTCTGTCATCCGGTGCTCCGGTATTCGGGTGTCGTTCGCGTATTGTGTTGTGAAGTTTGTGGCTTTTATCGCTAGGCGTGTAACGACGTGACTGCACGAAGATAAAGCAATACTAGTCAGGGTGGATGCGTAGGATGTATGAGTGGGAAGGTTAGACGGAAGAATTGGGGACGGCCTGGCAGATGTAAGCTGCCACCTGCCACCCTGGCTTAGTCTTTCTCTGGGGAATTTGTGGGCGCGCTGCGGGGCGAAGGCGCCATCCCACAAGGGAAAACACGAGCAGCACATCTTCGCCGATACTTTCTCGTCCATCACTGGCCACTAAACCTTAAAGCTAGCCTTGTTGCGATCAGCATGCCTGCTTGTCAGAATTACGACGGGCTTTCTCGGCACTCCTCAGCAGCCTCTCACGACCATGACTAGAGCTTTCTGCGGAGTGGTGGCTTCAGCGACTGTGAACACCCACGCTCAGATCATGCTTGGAGGTCGGCCCGAACGTTGTGATTGAGCCACCCACCACTCTGTCAATTGCAACATGCTCTAGGCCTGTGCCGCAACCAAATATTGCGCCCGTCTTAACCGGATGGGTACCATCTACAAGGGCTGCTCAGCAGGCTGCCATTCGCCAACAGCCGCAATATTTGGTGCCCGTATGACTACCACTCATCAGCGCACTCTATGTGGCACATTCTAGAAGACGGCAAGGTGATCAATGTCCTTGTTGACACGGAACGCGCAACCTGCATTCTGCCATGACAGGCTTAAAAGCTGGTTGTATCGACCAGGGGCGGATGAATGTGGACGACGCGGCAAGCCGCTTATCGCAGCCAAGGCCCAACCCGTTCTGCACATCAATTCTCCTAGACTTGAGCAGAACTGTCCTCGCGTGTCTGTGATTGATCTTCGACCAGGCCCCGCGTATAAGGCTGATCGCGTGGATATTGGATGCTTCCAACAGTGACCGTTTAGGAGCGTGGCCGCGTGAGCCGTCTGAGCCACTTCGGCCGTAGAGAGCACGACAAAAGTCATCCAACTGCGTCATGCATGTTGGCCTGCATTGTCGATTTCTATACGTTTGGGCGTAGAAACTTACGTTGGGTGATTAAGAGGCGTAATATGAATGGCGGAGAGCCGATGCTTCTATTGATCTTCTATCATAGACGCGCTGCTTCCGTCGCGAATGCAGGGCGCGTGGGGAGGTATTAGATTGGATAGGTTCCACAATGGTATATAACCTCGTCTATCATGTGGGGTCTTTGTGTTCAAGAAAAATCCTCTTCTTCATCCTCTGCTCCCTCGTTTAAACCAAGGTAATGTATTACAGCCTCAGTGTCTAGGAGTTTGGCTTTCTGTATGCTGTCAGTATGGTCCCAAGAAGAACATGCAGGAACGGCAACTTGGTAGTCTGGCGGTCTAGCAGTCTAGCCCATCAGGCGCATGGTGCCGACCTTGGTGCGACACCATACTAGGCGAACGACTGTCCAAGAGCATGCTGTGACGCATGGCTTATGGTGATATTGGGTGTGAAGCATACTATGATGTAGCTACGAGCGCGGGGTATGAGAAGGCAATAGTCTTACCTGGCTATCAAGTGTGGATGCAGCACGCTCGAGCATGTCTAGCTCCAGACTTCGGAGTCGCTCCGCAAGTTTCCACGGCATGTCCCGCATGGTACTGTCCCGTCTAGCGCCCTTTGATTCTTTGAGTGTGTCGATCTGTGCGTCAACACGGTTTTGTAGAAGTACCGTGGCACGGAGTCGGAAGACATCCCATGCTGGGTCCTGTTCAAGGTGTTCCCGCAACTTGACCGTGTCGAGTTCTTGCTCATTCCAAAAAGACTGGATTTCTCTCTTGCCGTCCGTCGTTTGTCTGATCTTGAAGTCTAGGCCGTCTTCTTCGTTGACTACAACAAGCCATACGAAGTCGCTTTCCCATTCTATGTTGCCGTCCTTCTCAAAAATGCGGAAGCCTGGTGCAACCTTTGAAACATAAATCTTTGCAGGTCTGAGGGGGTCGTCATCTGGGATGTCAAGGTCCAGAAACATGACTTTCGCACAAGTCATTGTATCTTCGATAAATCCGTACGAAAAGATGTTCTCACATGCGCCTTTGTCGTCCCCGTACCTAATCTGGTGAGCGAATTTCGTGTGATGTGTTGGGATGACCTACGTGATCGTAACCTCTTCGCCAGGTTCGACATGTTTGCCCTCCCGAAGTAGTAACAACCCATTTCCGTTCCCATCGGTCTCGTATAAGGCAGCTGTTGCATCTCCCGATGCATGATTTGCCATATCAACGCAGGGCACCATGCAGTCACCAGTACCTGGAAACTCCAGAGCTCTAGACCGGTACATTGCGTCGACACGCATCCAGTCGTCGAAGTCCAACATGCCATTGTCTTCGTCCCACCAGTACTTTTTACACCAGCTGATTGACTCTGTCGCAGTTCGCAATTTCTCAAATTCGCGCAGCAACCCATTCAATTTTGCGCTAACTGCAGGTTTGAGCGTGGTTCCAACTAAGAGCTCCCGTTCTTCCTCGGTCCAGAATGTGGGAAGCAGCTCATCTGGAAGAAACTTGATGTATTCCGTAAGGGGATTCAGGACGCCAACTCCCTTTGTCTCAGGACAGCAAATGGTGGCTTGTAAGAGTAGAAATGTAAGTATAGCGCCTCTTGTCGTCTGTACTGCGTTAGTGTTGTGAATTTTTCGATTCTTCCAAGGGGCTGTCACACCCTCCCAAAGTCCCCAAGAGCTTCGAGAATTTCTCGAAGATGGTGGTCTGCCTTTGCAAGAAGTTCGATGTTCTGGCGAGATATGATCAATTCCTTTGGCACGACGAGCATAGGCTCAGCGGCGCCCCCTTGGAGCTTCTTGTCGGCGATGACGGTTGATCCTCTGTCCTCATAACCTGGTAGCGGGCCAACTTTGACACCATTGAACTTGACCCCATTGAACGTAGCCCATGTAGGTAGCACATCGATGGACTCTTTGAGCCATCCCTCTGTTCTGCCCCGTCGGATCATTGTAACCTTAAATGTTAGATGAGGCTTCACAACGCACGGCCGCGGCCCACTCCTACTCTGCAACACACAGGATATGTGGGTCGCCAAGGATATCTCCCAGAACAGGGCTTCAACTCTGCGGAGTTTGTACGACAACTGCTTACTGTTGATGGTCAAAGTAACACAAAAAGAAATGACAACGGCAAGATGGCCGTATGCGGTGAGGCGATCGCGATGCCGACGGGCTCTAGTGCAGGCCGCGCAAATTGTCCGCGATTACTGCAGCAATCGAGATGCAGGCAGCCTCTAGAAGCCCATATATTGGACCCTGTGAGGTCATGCAGACACGACGACAGCTGCGGGTCCAAGTCTTGACGATGCTGGTTTCCTAAGAGACGGGATCAGACAGAGTCGTAGACGGGAAATGAGATGCTGGCAAACGAGAATATGTGTACCAGGTCACGTATAGGCAATGCGTAGGGTAAACAACAGGGAGGACCTCACCAGTTGTTGTGTTGTTGTGGTGCTTGGACCAGCCGTCTAGAGTTGTTATGATGGCGTTGACGGGCATCCCGAAACCGCGGAGTGGAACTAGCGGGTTGGTCCGTGCATCTGTAAACAACAACAACATGGAGGATGTGCTTAAACCTCCAACCATCCGCCCGTCACACATCTTTACTGTTATTCCTTACTTCGACCGCAGCAGGACAAGCAGGCGTAGACGGCACCTCCGCTACCAGCTCCAGAACGACGACGCATATACTCCTGCGCTGCGCTGCCGACATCGCCGCTTTCGTCCCAAGTCGGCACCCCGTCCTTCCCCAGCTGTAATCAACACTTGAGGATCGCACCTTCCTCTTCCCCATGGCTTCACCACGCGATCGAGTAGCCAAGATGTCTCGCGCATCCACGACCAGCTATGGTCAGGTGATCGAGGTGAGCATCACAACACACCAAAACAAAGCGATTGCGGAACACATTCTGATTGAGACCTCCTAGTACATTCAAGACCGACTCTATCTGGCATCGTACACAAGCCCGCCCGATGCCAACACGCCCTTTCCGTACCCCAAGCAAAGCCAGTCGCCTTCCAAGCGGTCATCGCGCGCGCAAGTAGGACCTACTGCCGCAGGGCCCAAGGCGCATCCTCCTGTCTACTTCAGTATCGACAAGACTCTCCTGTACAATGCCTTCCATGGTGACTTCGGCCCACTGCACATTGGTCACCTCTACCGCTTCGCTGTTCAGCTGCATGAAGTTTTGGGCGACCCAGCCAACGAGGACCGCGCTGTCGTCTTCTGGAGCAGCGCCGACTCTAGGAGTGAGAGCACTAAATCTACTCCGTTCAATTGCACAAATTAACATGCCTAGGTCGCGCAAACGCTGCCTGCATTCTCGCATGCTACATGGTGCTCATCCAGTCATGGCCACCTCATCTTGCTCTGGCGCCCATTGCCCAGATGGATCCGCCCTGCATGCCCTTCCGCGATGCCGGTTACAGCCAGGCTGACTATGTCCTGAACATTCAGGACGTCATCTACGGTGTATGGAAGGCCAAGGAAGAAGGCCTTTGCGGTCTGAAAGACTTCAGTCTCGAGGAGTACGTCTGAGCCGCGCGCATCTCCAAACAGCCAACGCTAACAGTCCTAGATATGAGAAGTTCGAGCGCGTAGACATGGGTGACTTCAACTGGGTCACTCCCAACTTTCTGGCCTTCGCCTCACCACAACAACAACCCACACATGAGATCCCGACATCATCACCAATGTACGCGACGCTACCTTCCAACATCGCCGAGATCCAGCGATCTGGACTCCCCGGTCCCTTCAAGAACGTACTCTCGCACTTTTGCGCGCGCAACGTCGGTCTCGTTGTGCGATTGAACTCGGAGCTGTACTCCTCGTCCTACTTCACCAAGCTCGGCATCCAGCACTTGAACATGATCTTCGACGACGGCACATGTCCGCCGCTGTCACTCGTACGCAAGTTCGTCAACCTTGCACATGAGATGATTACGGTGCAGAAGCGCGGTATCGCAGTTCACTGCAAGGCTGGACTAGGACGAACCGGCTGCCTCATCGGGGCTTACCTGATCTACAAGCACGGCTTCACCGCCAACGAGATTATCGCATACATGCGCTTCATGCGCCCGGGCATGGTTGTCGGTCCCCAGCAGCACTGGCTCCATCTCAACCAAGGTACTTTCCGAGAGTGGTGGTTCGAGGACACCATCAAGGCCAAGTACGCGCAGATGATGCCATCAACGCCTACCAAGTCACCGCACAAGCAGCGCCTTGCTAGCAACGGGCAAACCTTCACACCGCCCAACGGATCTTCCAAGCGCGCTGCGCTCGGTGAGATCGAGTCGAACGAGCGAAGCAACTCGGGCCATATTGGAGTACTAGAGGACAACTTGCCTGCGCCGACACCGGGACAACCGCGAAAGACTAGCAAGCTCTACGGTAACGGCCGGTCACCACAGCGCATCGACGAGAACGAGCCCTTCACCAAGTCGCATACAGAGGTCAGAGCAGACATCACACGCTTCGATGGTGAGTCGGACGAGGAATTCCATCTCCGCCAGATTGCGCGGCGTACTTCGTCACGCTCCCCTCAGCGTTCACCAACCCTCAAGGACAAGCAGCGCCGCGCTTTCAGCACCACGTCTGTCGTCCAAACATCTGTAACACACACCTCTTTCGGCTTCGGTGAAGAGAGCGACCTCGAGAACACTGCACCGGCTGGCATCCGGCCGAAGACACCAAAGGAGAAGAGCGGCAGTGGCAGCATCAACATGGGCAAGATCCGATCGAGCCCTTCGCGCAGGAGCACCGATGGCAAGTCTGCTGTACGGAAGACCAGTGGTCGTGTCGGGAGCTTAGGCAATGCCATCTCCCGCCCAAAGTCATGAGCCACGTCCCTGGATTCTGAGTTTCTGATCCTCAATCTTCATTCCGGGAGTTATAGCATGGCGTCTTGGGACACGACTTTCATCGTCACTTCGTTTCTTGTCTCAGTCAATTCTTCGTCGCACAGCATGCCATCGGGCTCGGCGCTACATATGTCGTCTGCAGGCGGGCGTTTTGAATCACTAAAGAGTGCATAACGGTGTTGGGTCATCATTCTGGGAGTTACTGGGGCGCATGGTGTGCTAATGTCTCTTCTCTTTCCACTGTTTCATTACCAGTGACTGTTGCGCTGCATCTTTACTTTAGTCTTGTCCCTTTTCGCGGTAATCTGGCTGCGGATATGTTCATGACGTGTATGAGTTGATGACTACTTATAATTGTCCAAAAACAATGGCACTCTCTCTCCGAATCGAGTTCGCATTACCTGGATGTTGTTGTGATGTCTGCATAAATGCTACTTTCTGCTGAAGATACAATAATACTTCGCTCGTGTGCTAAGATTTGTTGCGTTACCTAAACGCTGTCGGCTGGGCTACAGTGCCAATACGCAAAAGCATATAGTCACTCCGGCGTCTCTAGCATGCCATCAACCCATTCTTGTCTTATGATGATCATCGTCGCTCATGCTTCAAAAATCGCACGATCGTGCCAATAACTCAGCCAACTCTTCTAAGGCTTCCTGGTCCTCCGCGTCGAAGCCATTGAGTTCCGCACAATCTATGTCGATAATTGCTACGACCTACGAATGTGTCAGCATACCAACACTTTGAAGTCAGAGAGTCAACACATACCTTTCCATCTTGTACAATGGGAACAACAATTTCACTCCGACTCGCTCCATCACATGCAATGTGTCCTGGGAACTTCTCGACGTCTTCCACTAACTGCGTCCTTGCCTCTTTTGCCGCAGTTCCGCATACCCCACGACCGAAGTTAATCACTTGACATGCTACTTGTCCCTGGAAGGGGCCCAGCAGTAGTTGTGACGAATTTGTAGGCGATGTGAAGTAGAAACCCGCCCAGTTGACTGCGGAGGATGGAGAAGGCAATGAATGATATGCGTGCCAAAGTAGCGATGCTGTGTTTGAGAAGTTGCTGTTCATAATATATTAGAGATGCTCCAAGTAGGCAGTTGCATAATAACATGAACGTACCAAACCTATGAAGCATTAGCAACGTAATCCCATCCTCTCTTAACGACTGATAAAACTTACCCAATTCCTTTGCCCATCAAACAACGCTCTCGCTTGTTCAAGCACTTGTGCATAAACCTCCTTCTTACTCATTCCATCGGCGAAATTTGATGAATCGGCGTGCACCTAATGCCACTCCTAAATCAGCCACCATCTCAACCACATTTTTAGCCTAGGCTAAACGAGAGCTTCCCCTGCGTACCATGGCTGTTGATGTTGCGTTTTTTCGTTTCGGTCTCACAATTCTTTCTCGGACTGCTTTTGCTTGTGTGTCACGAAGACAAGGATGGTTGCTGCAATAGACAGTCGCCGATGCTTGCCGGGGAGCAACGATCGTGAATCCACACAAAGATAATTACGACTTCTATACTCCACGACGATATTCACGTTTTGTAAGCGAGCGATTCTATGAATATGGATTGAAGATTGGTGTTACATGACTGTTTCTGTTCTTGGGCCACAAGGGGCTTAGGTTGCCAAAAATTGCGATCGCGTCATTCCTGTCTAATCTTATCTAGGCGTGTGCAACGCTAAGTATTGTTGTTACCATCGCACACATACAGTAACAGACGTCCTTCGAATAGATCGGGTTATAGCCTTGCGTTCAAGGGTATCAGTACATCATACAAGATTCAGACAGATCCGTTTCGGCCTTGCTTTGAATTCTCGGCCAAAAAGATACCCACCATTGTCCTCCACTTGGTTTGCAAAAATTTCACTGTTGCTAGCAAAGCAACCATCCACAGCCATGGAGCATTCCAAAGCATCAGACAAGAGGCTTGAAGTAGACTGTAAGGATAGATCTAGAATTGACAAGTATATGTAGTTCTTCAACCACAAGTATGCTTCATGGCAACAGGTCGGTTGGCGCAATGGTAGCGCGTGCGCCTCCTATAACTATATCTGCGAGCGCAAGGTTGTGGGTTCGAGTCCCATGCTGATCGAGACAATTCGATGAAGTCTAGTACTGTGTGTATTAGACAATGTCTAATTTTTTTGGTGGGCTGGAGTTGGGATACTTTTTTTCTTCTTGACTATATCAAGAAAGCAGCAGCAGTCTTGTGTGAAAACCACAACCTGGAAACATCAAACATGCCTCCAAGGCAAGGATGATTTACTCCTATCATGTATAGGGAGGGTGTCTTTCCTTGGCTTTGGGAGCGTGCAAGCACGCCATCTGAGTCCGATCGATGATAAAAGAGAAAGCATTGGCATCACTAGATAGCTCTCTGGAGTGCGATCAGACCTTGAGCTTATGCAGATATGCATCCTTCGCCAGTGCACCATTCTACTCATCTTCCTTTCTACTAGAGTCTTTGTCTTTGAGAATTAAATGAAGAACTACATACCCATATATTTGGCGCACGCTTATCATTGCAGTATATTCTCTCTCAAACCGCGAAAACAGTATCTCATGATGTCTTTTGATATCTCGCATCGCATCTCGTCTCATACATCTTTTCATTTCCCTTCACATCTCTAGGTATCGCCCTTCTACTATGGTCTTCGATGTCCGAAAAGTATTCAATCGGTCGCGGGGTCTTGCAGAAGAGAACGCCTGCCACGCCACCTATATGATAGATTACCTAGGTAACCTCAATTCCCAGCTATTGCTTTTGTCGTAGCAAATCTAATCCGTGTCTATATCCTCTTTTAGAAAATCATCTTTGAATTCGTCGAAGAGGAGTATCTATCTTCTTAGCTTTAGTATCGAAACCCCGCCCAATGTAACCTATTTTGCCGTCTCCTTCGATAGATTCCCCGATACATGTACATTTAGATGCGTTGATTAGCTGTCGAGTACATTGAAGTCGTTGTGCAGGTGAATGGTAAGGCTATTGAGTCAAATATCTCAGATGACGAAAAGTAGATCGCCCTCTCAGAGTATGTAGGTAGGAGCCAGCCGCAAAACCAGGCAGGTGGCGTGTGTACCATATTTTATCCACTGTGGTGTTCTAAGGAAATCGGCTATCGCATTGACAGCAGTGGTCGTTTCTACTCAATCCCAAGTCCGAGCCTGTGTGGAATGGGCGGCGGTTCCGTACAACTCAACGAAATGCTGCATGATTTTTTGTCGTAAATACGCAAGCGCAGATCACTGACGAGTATTGCTAAAGGGCAAGACTCTACCACGGCATTCTCCAGGGTGGCTTAAAGTGCTTCAGATGCACTAGTGTTGTTTGTTCCGATACACGCGATGGTGTCGGCCCCACTTTTTCGGATGTCACGTGTCAGCCCGTTGATCAATCTCGCGCTCAATGTAAAGCTGCTTACCAACCACACATCGTCGCACCACCACGATGCCGTCTTCGGAATACACTGCGGCCAGCGGTGGTGCTCTGAAGCTCAAAGGCGGCGGCGTTGACAAGAAAAAGAAGAAGAAGAAGAAGCCAAAGACTACCGAATCTACAAAACCCTCTGAAGACACATCCATCGACGTCGCGAAACGATCCACTACCGACAATGACGCGCACAAGTCACCTTCAGGCACACCTGGCCGCTCAATCTCGCCCGAGGCCGTAGAAAGATCGATACGAGAGGGCGGTGGAAGACAGAAGACGGAGGCTGAAAGGCGACACGACGAGATGCGAAGGAAGAGGCTGGAAGAGAGATTGAAGAAGGAAGGAGTGAAAACACACAAGGAGAAGGTAGAGGAGCTGAACAAGTATCTGAGTGGACTGAGCGAACACCACGATATGCCCAAAATCGGACCTGGCTAAGACGCGCTTGGGTTGGGTCAATGGCACAACATGTCGTCTATCTGCTGTAGCTTGTCGAACGCACCTCAACAACAATCGCCACGCCATAATGCTTGGATCCGGAGAGCTGATCGCTTCGAGGAAAACGGCACACCTTTGTCTCGCGTATGCGCACACAGAATGGGAGAATGCTTGCGATTTCGTAACGCAATATGCAATCATGCTTATGACAATGAGTGCGTCTTTGGTCGGCGGCTTATAAGATTGTGTGTATTCATACCATAATGTAACAAGTCCAGAATCTGATACTTGACTAGATTAAACCCTCACGCAAACTCTACTTCGCAGACTTGAACTTTGCATGTATCACCCCGCAAAGTCCAAAGATTTCTTTTGTCTTCGATAAGGTCGGCCCGTTGGTCTTGTGTCAATGCGACTAGTGTAGTGGCTTCTCGGCTTATCTAGTCAAGCACCCAGGCATGGCCAGGTACCAGTAGCTTGAACGAGGCGTATTCTCACCGCGTCTACGCGCCTGAAACCTTCTAGAATACTTTTCCATTGGATGTCGTGACCGGCCTCTAGCTTTATCAGTGCACAAAGCCTGACGAAGACACAACTCCTACGCTCGCGACATGGATCACATGTGCAAGTATCACGCCTCGAATACACGCACCTGCCCAAAAGATCGCCTAGGATGATGCTCGGGTCATCACACAGCACTCCGGTCTTTGTGTCTCTAAAATCTTCCATATGATTGGATGGATGCGAGCCTTGTGCCATCAACTGAGAACAATATACGAGTCGCCACCGTCATTTGCAGGTTTACGACTCCAATCAAACCCCTGCAGTGCAGGCCGGCGATTCACCTCGCAAGGTAGATTGCGCAGATTGTCCGTGCAATAACCCCATTAGTGCGGAGGGTTGTGGGGGACTGTTGCGCTCATTGCGCGCCTTCTTCTCGCCATCCATCGAAGAGGTACTAGAGTACACGCATCTCTGAAATCGTTGTCAGCTGGGTCGTCTCGATACAACCATCCTACCAGAATTTGAATACATTGCGCGATCCAGGAGGTGTGGCGATACCATCCTAGTACCCCCGCGCGCTAGAAGGCGTTCTAGAAATGCGTCCAATTCGGACAACACCCGTCGCGTCATCCCTAGTCAGCCCACGATAGTGGAATCTGCTGTGATGGGTTGCAATGGATTGTAGCTTGGATCCACCTGCCGAGAAATGCTTAGCGCGTGCCAGGACTCCGCGATAGCTGCTTGCTCCAACGCTATTGAGGCTTGTCTCAATGCCAAATCGCACTTTAAGCGAGTTGGAACGCCCGACGCCCCATTCCGCTGTCGCGTGCTGTTCGAGGTCTCTGAAGTCAACCAAAGAGTGTGCCTTTGACAAATGTCATACAATCAGTACCCGCAAAGTTTCGACAACGCCGGTGAATAGGTTGTTGTACGGGAAACCGCAAGCAGACATGTTGCACAAGAAGCTGTGCCCCTCGTTGAACAGACAAGGCTTGTATCGAAGCTTGTCACCCAAGCATCTACCCCAGTACTGTGGTGCCATCCTTATCACCCTCCGGATGAGGTTTAGATAGTTCATGGCGGTACCGCGTGTTTGCTCGGCAACACCGTCTGCCAAGAAGTTCGTCTCATTTGCTCCCAATCACACCTTTGACCAGCAGGATCTCCGGAGCTGCGCCGCGACTAGCCTGCAGAATGACAGTCTCCGCTGTGATCCAGCCCATGCTCTTCTTTTGTGTGCGGTACCCTGGTGTTGGGATAGATATGCTGCAGAGTCGAGAGGCGGCTGTCGCAGGCGCCTAGGTATAAAGATCGTTCTCATAACCCCATTCTCCCGGCTTGCAAGGCTATCATCTTTCGTGCCTCTACCCTTGTTGTGATCCCTTGGGCCTGTTGTCCCTGATAGACTCAGGTTCGGTCCTTTACTTTGTTGGGCACACCTCCTTTGTGCTTCCATCCGCCTGTCACCCCATATCGGTCGCAACAGCACACCAGATATGTCGGTCAACGACTACGAGAAACAGCAGTATGCTGTCGCTGGCGAGACGCCTTCTGACCATGCTGTTGGAGATGTCACCGATACCAAAGGCAATGCCATCAACGAGGCCGCTGGTGTGTACGGCTCAGTTCAGAAAGCCGAGGACTATGGCTACGTTCAGAGAGGCCTCAAGTCGCGCCACATCCAGTTCATCGCACTCGGAGGTACCATCGGTACCGGTCTGTTCCTCGGTATCGGTAAAGCTTTCGCCAACGCTGGTCCTGTCTCTGTCCTCCTTGGTTACACCATTACAGGTGTTGCTGTCTTCGGTATGATGCAATGCCTCGGTGAGATGGCCACTTGGCTTCCCCTACCCGGTGCTATTCCCCAGTATGCTGCTCGCTATGCGGATCCTGCTCTTGGTTTTGCCGTCGGTTGGAACAATTGGTACAACAGCTCTATCACGCTCTGCGCTGAGATCTCTGCTGCCGCTCTGCTTATCAACTTCTGGGATCAAGAAGAGAAGTATGTACCGCCACTACTCCGAATGCGACAACAACTAACATGCCACTAGGTACAACCCTGCCATATGGATCTCCATCATCATTGTCATCATCGTCTTTCTTAACATCTTCGCTGTTTCGATTTACGGAGAAGCTGAATTCATATTCGCGTCCATAAAGATTATAACGATCCTGGGACTGCTCATTGCTGGTCTGGTCATCATGCTTGGTGGAGGACCAGACCATGACAGGCGAGGGTTCCGCTATTGGAAAGAGGGCGCTATGAAGGAATACGTTGGTACTGGTAGTACTGGTCGCTTCACCGGTCTTTGGTCTACCCTTGTCAACGCTGCGTTCTCTTACGGTGGTGTTGAAATGGTTGCAGTTGCTGCTGGTGAAGCCGCCAACCCTCGCAAGAACAGTAAGCAATCCCCTTGTATCAACTGCATACGACAGCCACTGACCTTGTACTTCCACTAGTTCCCAAGGCCGTTCGACGTGTCTTCTGGCGCATCCTGTTCTTCTATGTTCTAGGATCGTTCATCATCGGTACCACCATCAGCTCGAACGACCCTCAACTTACCGATGACAACGCCAAAGGTGCCCAGTCATCGCCTTGGGTCATTGCGATGAAGAATGCTGGTATTCCAGTTCTTCCCCATATCGTCAACGCTGTCATCTTGACTTCCGCTACCTCTTCCGGCAATGCTTTCCTGTACACCGGTTCCCGTTATCTCTTCAGTATTGCCCAAAACGGCCAGGCTCCCCAGTTCCTTCTCAGGTGCAACAAGAAGGGTGTACCAATCTACGCTGTCGCAGTTACTGCCTCCATCTCCCTACTCACATACATGAGTGTCAGCGCTGGTGCCAACAAGGTGTTCGGGTGGTTCCAAAACTTAACCACAATCGCATCGCTCTTCACCTGGTGCACTGTCACGTACACATACACTCGGTTCCGGAAAGCATGCATTGCCCAGAACGTTGATCGCAGCACCATGGTCTTCGCGAGCAAATGGCAACCTTACGTCGCATGGACTGCCTTTACCTACTTCGCTCTCATCATTCTCTTCAATGGCTTCAAGGTTTTCACCACCACACCTTGGGGACCCGATGAGTTGACCGACTTCTTCACAGCATACATTGGTGTTGCGATCTTCGGTCTCTTGTTTGCGTTCTGGAAAGTCTTCAAAAGGACCAAGATGGTCAACCCAGCGGAGGCAGATATTTGGAGCGGTAAAGCGGCACTTGATGCGGAGGTTTGGCCTGAGCAGATCCCGCGTAACGCACTTGAGAGATTTTGGTTCTGGTTATGTTGATTGGCGATATGCGCATCAGTGGTGTCTTTGACTGGTAGAGGTCCATGGCTAAACGGGAGATGTTGCAGCAACGAACACTGCATGATATGTTGAATGAATCATTTAGTTAGCTTCAAAGAGTTTGAAAGTGACAGAAGGTTTTGGCTGTAGATGACATTCCACCACTAGCTTGGTGATATTAAGTCTTATATTTCCAGTCGCGCTAGTCGCGCCCTACGGTCACGAAGGTTTGCCGTCGGGTAAAGCATGGACGCCTTACCAGCCACGCAGGCGCGATACTCTTCATCCAGTACATCAACCCTGAACCGACGTAGCGCTCGCCGTGATTTTAATGAAACATGCTGACAATGATGCGCACACTGCCAATGAATCAACACTTATGGCGGCCCTACCGCAACACTTCCGTCTTATCATATTGCTTCTTCTGGACCTCAATACGAGTCGCGCATGTGAGTAGTATTGGGTGCCTGACGCGTACGTACTCCTGGCTATTTTTCCAACCCCGTAAATGACTGAGATGCTTGAGTACATCGCGACAAATCGCAGGCGAGGCCAGTATGTATTTCCATCACTCAAAGCCGTTTTCTTGGAACCAGAAAATCCACGAGCATCCTTTAAGTCTTGAGATGAACGCTTGACTAGGTCGTGTCGTGTGTTGCGCCTTGCAGGTTCAATGTTTAGCCACGGGGGTTGCCGCTAGACCCACATATCTTCCTAATTAGTAATGCTGCGTGTCAGACCCTGTCAGGCCGGCGACTTTCAATCAACGGCTTCCAAGGCATCAACGTTCGTCATTCAACACCATTGCTAACTCCAGCGCTTCAATCGGTCTAACGGTTAAGAAAATCGTCGCTCAAAATCTGCGACCATCAGACTTTGTTGCACAATTCCTACACAACATCTCAAACATCCACCGGCTATCGTTTGCGCTAGTCGATCTCCAAGTGATTACAAACATGGAATTGCGCAGCTAGCAAGAGCGAATCAGAAACATTATGCGTGAGCATCTACGAGACCCATAATCGAACGAGTATACTATCCTACAACAAGCGGCAACTTTGCCGACACGTACACGGAAGCAGGATGACGAGCCGAGGAGATGATGGCAAGTCGCAGAATCCCTGGACGATGACGAACCAACTCGTCAATAGCCCAGACTCGGAGCCCAAAAAGCCTCAAGATCAACCACTAAACCGCGCCTGCGAAGCATGTCGCATATCCAAGGTCCGATGTCTTATGAATCCGGATGCAAGCTCTACGCAGTGCCAGCGATGCGCGAAGGCGAATAGAACATGTGTGTTTGCGCCGCCAGCTAAGAGAAGGCAACGAAAGAGAACAGATGTGCGAGTTACAGAGTTGGAAAAGGAGATCCAGCAGATGCGTAGCCTTTTGAAAACCAACACACGATCATCCAACGATGTCAGCGAGCAAGAATCGGGAGACGATGACTCAGACGACCAAGGACATGCAGGAGGAAAGGAGACGTCCCCTAGAGTCCCGAGTCGCCTGAGTAGTATAACAGCGACATCAAAGCTGACAGCACCTATCAGCAAACCACCTCCAGTCGACCCCGTTATCACTGGCGCACCTATAAACTTTCCGGGGTCTTCTGACAATGATATCATAGACCGTGGTGTTATCTCAGAAGACATGGCTCGGGAGCTCTTGAGCATATGGCGCACTGAGCTCGTCGCTGCATGCCCAGGTATCACGATTCCTAAGCATTGGGACGTTTTCGATCTACGAGCGAACAAACCCGCACTCTTCCATGCGATCATGGCTGCAGCTGCCCACTCCAAAGGCTCTGCCTTGTCGGACAGACTGCATGAAGAAACTGTCCTTCTCTATGCACGATCCGCATTCATCCAGGGCGAGAAATCAGTTCAGGCTATACAAGCGCTCATCGTTACTGTCACGTACTATTCACCTTCCAAGACACCAGGACAGCTACAAATCTATCAGTGGGTTAACATGGCCGCATCAATGGCTTTGGAACTAGGCTTGACATCGAAACCCAGAACGCACGAGCAACTGCCCAAGCGTGCAATCCGATCACTTCAGAAGATATCTTCGCCGGAGGAACTACTTGAGCACTGTCGTACTATCCTGCTGCTCTACATCATAAGTGCAGGCTTCTCGATGAGACTAAAACGACCCAACATACTGCTTTTCAACAGTTGGATGGAAGAGTGCTTCAACATCCTGGAAAAGTCAAAGCTCTTGGATGACAAGAGAATAGTTGCATGGTTGAAACTTCAGCGGATAGCTGATGAGGCGAACACTGCCTTCGGGTTTGACGATGCAAGTACCAGCTTCAGTCTTTCGGAATTGCGCATGCAAATCATACTGCGAATCTTCGATCGGCGAATGCAAGACTGGAGGAAAGCAATCCCAGATGATGTAATGACGTTGAATCTCCAGCTGGAGTACTACGCGGACATGCTATCTATGTGGGAGTTCGGGATGGACGGAGGTCGCTACGACGGTAAGTTGACTTTGATAGATTGCATATAGCTTAGCTAACGTCGTTCAGTCATCGAGTTTCGCAATCGCCACATCACTTTGCCCGCGCTAGATGACGACTGTGTACAACCCGAGTCCCTCCTCTCGCGCTCAGCATTACAGATCAACGCGACGACGAAATGCATAAGCGCAGCACACACCATATTAGACTTCTTCATTGCCGTTCCTGTCGACAAACTACGGAAATCACCCAACGCCCTCTTTGTCCGTGCTGTCTACTCTCTGGTGACTCTGATGAAAGCCGAATACGCAGTCGGGACAGATGCCGAGATGGGCGAACTCCTCGAAAGTCAGAGTCTAAAAGTGAGCTTTTACCTTGACACTGTATTAGAAAAGACGAACGAGGCCGGGGGGCCGCCGGAGTGTAGGGTCAGAGTTCCGAGCCATTGGAACTTTTTGCTCCACGAGAAACTGAAGAGTTGGTGGGATGAGTACCAGGAATGGAGAAAAGAGGGGAGACATTTGAAGAGGAGAAAGACGGGCAATGGTGATGATAGCAATACTGCGACGGGGAATCAGACGCCGACGTTTGCGGAACCGACCTCGCAAGTTGCGACTTCCGCTATAGATCCGTCACAGGTTGCTGCACAACACCAAGCACACCCAATACCCATGTCAAATTTTCCTTTGGGCAACGCTTATCCCACGCCGGCACCATGGACTGCGAACGAACTAGGCCTTGATGCAAGCACACAGGCTCAGCCCATGAACGATCAAACAACCTTCTCAACCGACATGGGCGACTTCTCAGCGGCGTTTCAGAATGGAGATTTGTATTTGTGGAATGATATGACGGCAGACAATTTTGGCGGTTGGGTTCCGCAGGGTGGATCCTATGGTCATGCGGGGTTTGGAGGAATGAACAGTGGGTTTTGACTTTGCAAAGACGAGTCCATATCATGTTGAAGAATAGCATAAACATCGAGAATTTTACTGCGAATGCTACCAAACTTGTGAATGCTTGTGGGAAAGCATCATCCATCATATACATAAATCCATTATCTACATTTTCTTCAGCCCACCCTCTACCCACTCGACTACCTTTTCGAGCAACCCAACATCAGCCTTGGCCTGTTCCAGCGCCTCTTCTCCTTCAACTACAAGTGCACCGCCGCCCGATGTCAACTCTTTCTGGAACCGCGCAGCTGTTTGCTTTAGCACATCCAAATAGCGTGACTGGATGCTGTGACTATTGTTTAGTTCTTTGATACCAAGAGTGTCATGCAAGTGTTTCGCTTGCAACAGAAGGTAGTAGAAGTTGAGCGCTGCGACATAGAAACCGAGTTCCTGACGGAATTGCATCCATGAGTCTTCTAGACTAGTGTCACCGGCATATTGTTTTGTAAGGTCCGGCCATAAGAACGGCGCGACAGTAGATAGCGCGACAGGTGTGGCGAAAATATTCGTCTCTTCGTGGTCATCATCTGCTGACTCTGGACGTGGGGCGTTGGCTTCGAGAGTCTCGCCCTTCAACCATGACACCGCGCTTGCTTTGAGGTTCTCGTACGGACAGTGTTCTAATGTGTCGCGGATGAACGTTAGGCGAACCAGATCATGGGGATGGGAGCGCAGCACAGTAGTGGTGAGGTAGTGTGCATGGCCACGTAAGCTGGGCGACGGCGAGTTTGCAGAGATGAGCGATATCGTCTGTAGGTACTGGGCAAATGACTCGTCATCTTTTGGCTCGCCAATGTTGTTATGCTGGAGCGCTATGAGGCCAAACGTAAGAACTGTATCAAGTAGTGCCTCAGGTTCCATGCCGACAGTTTGCTGACCAAGAGTGCCGATAAAGTTACCAAGGATGGTGGCGTGTCCGGGGAAGATGTCAATAGATAAAGACTGATTTTGTGTGGCTGGTGCATATAATTCTTGTTTGACGCTTTGCGCGGCAACAAGAATCAAGGCTCCTGTTCGTGAAAGTGGTATATCAGCGGCTGCGGCTGGCGGCTCGTCTTCTGTCCCTGGAATGCCTCTTTTCTCGTCCTCTGTGTCCATCACAGTCCGCAGCAGCTCCTCGTACTTCAATCCAAGATCCTGGCTCAAGGCTACAATTTGCCCAAGAATTGCAACTCTAGAGGTCAGATCCTCATCATCTGCAAATCGATCTGCGTATTTTTGGTAGTTGGGCTTATTAGGTATCCGCTGGGGTTCGTACCGCTCCATCAGCCTGCTTGCCCATGCCAGACCTGGAACATCGTCATCCGATGTCAACGACAAAACATACTCCTCTAGGATGTGCGTAAGGAACGACTGAAGTAGGCGATTAACAAGGTCATTCTCCTCATTGGTTGGCGCGTCGCTCTGCGCCTCCGGATCTGGCTCCGATTGATTGGTGTTCACACGTAGCAGGTTCCCGCTGCTCCGTCTTGAGGGCAGATGCGGCCGCTTAGTGCCGGAAAGTGTCTTGACGAATTTGACAGCGGATAGGGTAAGGTCTTCAATATGTGTGTTTGCCCTGTTGTATGCGAGCAGCGCGGCCTGGAGGCTAGTTGAGAGGAATCGGCTTGGATACTTCGTCTTGACCCTCCGGTGTAATGTTGCTAGTATAGTCAAGAGGACCTCAAACTTCAGTACTGGGAGCGGTGGCACTACGGCTGGTTGGAAGGCTGGACTTGTGCTCGACTCGCCCATTCCGACCTCCGCCGCTTTTGTGCGTTCGCTCGCTTCTGCATCGTCCTCTTCTCCATCCGTGTGGTCGTGTGGCTCTTCGAATTCCAGGAGCCGCAGTGCTTCTGTCACCTTCAAGACACACTCTCTAGGATTGCCCTTTGCAGCGATATCTTGCAAACAGTCTTCCGAGAGCGGCAACAACGGCAGGAGTAAATGGATCAGATCCCAACCGATAGTCGCAGTGAGTTCGGCATCTTGAAGAACTTCATGCAGAACAGGCAGATTCTCCTCTGTCAGGTTGTATTCAATAATAGTAAGGTAGGTGATGGGATCGGTGACTGGCGGGCGTGAGGCCAGAAGTGGATGTTCGTCCTTCTGGACGGGAACTTGGCTTTCGGCCATGACTCGTGGTTTTGGTAGTACGTTCGAGCCGTGTGTGTTACCTGTCCGGTAAAGTTGAAACGAACGGATTAGTATTGATGGTTGAGCGGCGGAAACTGTGGTGTTGAGGACAACCCAGAAATGTTGGATGGGGCTGGGCCCTGACGCAATGCCTACCAGCCCACCACTAGATTCGCGTGCACGCTAGTCCCCGCTTCCGCCAAGACGATCGCTCTTGCCAAAGTTCACTGCGGAGGCGCTCGTAGCTTCGACACCACGAATCGCTTCCACGACACGCTGCCCGCCATGGACGAAAAAGAAGAGACCAACGAGCCCCTCGACCTTGTGCGCCTCTGCATTGACGAAGTTGTCATTGTAAAACTGCGCGGCGACCGCGAGCTAAAGGGCAGACTACATGTAAGTCGCAAAGCTGTAGCTCGTATACCTAGACGGCCAAGCTGACACGGTGTTCAGGCATACGACTCGCATTGCAACCTCGTTCTCGGAGACGTAGAAGAAACCATATATATTGCAGAGGAAGAGGATGACGAGCAGGAGCCCCGCGTACGGACGGTCAAGAAGCAGAGCGAGATGCTGTTCGTAAGAGGTAGGAGATGTACACGGTGTCTGCAATTGGATCGAGGCTGACGGCAGACCAGGTGACTCAGTAGTCTTGATCGCACCAGCGGAAGGAGCATCGCAATGATCAGTATACCACAGTTTCTCGAACAAACAGAATTCGGCATAAGCAAGGGCGCAATTGGCTGGTTGGGGGTTGGAAAAGCGACAGCGGGATAAGAATGATGCAGTCACGTTTGAGATACCCGAATGCTGAGTTGTAGGGCGCATTCGCTGGCGCAGACTCAATGATGGAGGATAGTAGGATGTGTATGTGGAGCTATCAAGACATTCAGCGCAGGCTTAGACATATCCTCCGAAGCTCTCTCAAGCCCAGCTGAGGAGGTGCCCGCCAAACAAATACAATCATCAAGATTGACGATTGATCACAAGCCCTAAGCCTCATATCTCTTCACCGTAGGGTCTCACACTCATCATTTAAATAGGCACTGTTTGAAGCTGCAAGTATTAAACGCTTTTCTTGACTCTACAGGAAAGTTCAAACTAAGAACTTCATTGTGCCAGGCAAAACGCAAATAGAAAAACCCATACGCACATAGTGCGATGCCCATGTAAACTCCTGTGCGTCGAAGGTTGACCGCTGAGACCCGGCCAAAGAGGAGCGACAAAAACGGAAAGGGAAAAAGAACCGCCACCATAAGCGCGATACCGCGGAAGTGAGAGAATTAAACTAATATGAGCGGGTCATGACCTCGTTTCATCGTGATGGGGATCCGGAAACGCTTTCCAATGGAAGTAAATACAGTCGAAGGGAAGTTTACCAACTGCATGAGAACAGTGACGAGAGTAGAGGACCAGTGACGGGAAAGAGCATTGACGGAGAATGAAAAGACCTAGGCCGGATAACCGTAAACTCCATGCGCCGGGTGTCCGAACGAAGGTTGGACTGATGTAGACTGGGAAGATTGCTGATGTTGACCCTGTTCCAAGAAGCCGCCAAAGCGCCGTGTATCCGTGAACAATAAGCAAGAATGGAGAAGATTTCGATGGTGACCATGTTGATGCTGATGGTGAGTCGCGGCAAACCGGTTGACTTGTACTGCCGGACTCTTGACTGGTGGGTGCTGGTGGGTGACCTCTGGGAGTTGCGCTGTCGCACGAACCCTGAGCCACGTTAGAACACAGTCAAGTCAGAGCCATATGGAGACAAGTGTATTCACTTTCGCCTCCATGTTTGGCTCGCCAGGCTGTCCCTAGACACAAAGGGCAGAGAGAAGCCCTTTGAGACCTCCGCCTCTACGAAGATGGAAGCACGCTTATAGCGCTTGTCAGTGTACTTCTCGTACACAGCAGCGTGGTGCTTCTGGGGATTGTCGCAGCACTCAAGGATTACCGTTATGAGTTGGCGAAGTTGGGTCAATGTGTATCCAGAATAATGTACGTGTGCTTGCGACTAGGAGAATATTAGCATGGCTTGGTGACGTGTACAGACGATATGAACTTACCCAGTCACCCTTCTTCAGCATGAAGCGAGCGAGACAGTGAGCACCAGCGGACAGAAAGCTGGGAGCGCAACCGACAAAGCGCTCATCCATAACGGTGATCTCCAAAAAGTACTTTGATAGAGTACGAGTCTCCAGGTCGTAGTCATCTGCCTTGCTGATGCGGCGGAGAAAGCTCATTGGGCCGGGCCAACCCAGCTCAAACTGAAGCATGCTAAGCATGAAGCGCTCAGCTTTCAGAACCTCGTCGGCAGTGTAAGCACCGTCGACCATGTATACGATCTCCTGCACTGAAGGACAGTTGATCTCCTCATATTTGGCAGCGACGAAGAGAGCAGTGGCGCCGACCAGCTGCAGCTTGCCGAGTGAGACCACCTTACATGAGAGGAAACGGTCGACATAGTTGACAGCGAGGAAAAGTGTTTCCGGAAGAAGGGTGAAGCGGTTGTGGACCTGGACAAGCCAGTCCATCAATACTGATCGCATCGACCATTGTATCTCGGCCTGGTGATCCATGTAAGAAGCGTTTGGCTTCATGCGCTCCTCAAGAGAGTGCATGTATTCAAAGATCTCATCACCGTACTCAGCGACCATGGAGGTGTCCCACTGCTCGTCTTCCACATCTTCGTCACTCCGATTTGCCTCGACGAATATCTTAGCAGCCTCTAGCTCGCGTTTTGTCTTTGCAGTGATCCTAGGCGCAAGGACCAGGGTAACACCACCAGTCGTGTTGTCGCCACGCGATCGAAGAGAACGAGCAGTAGTGTAGCCGTCGGCATCATAGTACTCCTCATCTTCCTCCTCGTCCCAGTACTCTTCTTGGTCGAGGTCGTTGACCTTGGCAAGCTCTTCGTTGCGTTCTTGTTCCAGGACGCGCGCCTGCTCCTCTAATGCATCCAGGTATTCGTACCTGTCGTCCGCCCCATTTTTTGACTCGGTCTTCTCTTCCTCTTCAGGGATGGTCGCTGCCTGCTGGGACTGTGCTGGGGCACGGTCCACGTTGGGAAATGAAGATGGCTGGTTAAGGAGAGGTTGGCGAGCAGGTACATTTACAAGAGTTGTGTCGCTAAGGGGTTCTGGCTGCGGCTCCTTGAAAACAGCTGTGGAGGACTTCTTGGACAGGACTTTGCGGGCGTCGGCCGTCGGTTGGTTGGCGTTGACATGCTTGGGAACAGCAGACGCGACTTCACTTGTCTCGATTGACGCGTTGGTCTTTGTTATGACGTTTGCTAGAGGGCGTTGCGCCGGTCGTGCTAATGCACCAGGCTTCGTGATTTCCTTGACTGTGACGGCAGAGGTTTCCTTGAGCACCTCGAGGCCCTTCTTCTTTCCGGTGACCTGCATGTCATCCTTTGCTACAGGCTGCCGTGTAGTATTGCTGACATCGCCAAACACGGTCCGCTTGGCTGCGGCCGCCTTGATGCCTCCGACCTGCATCAGTGTAGATAGTGCTGGTGTTGACTTTCCGCGCGAGTGCAGAGCCTTTCCAGCTGGTAATTGGGGTAGCGCGTTCTCGTCGCGTACACGGAGAGCCCTTGCAGGGCGTTGTGGCTGTAGAAAAATCTGTCAGCGGATGTCGAGGGAAGACAGTCTGGGTGACCCCGGATATGCACGAAGATGAAGTGGCATCGCCGACCTCGCAACGCGTCAGGCAGGGTTGCGCGCCTAATCAAAGGCAAGCAGAGAGGGAGAGAGCTTACCTTTGCGTCCATTATGTTCTCAGTGTGTCGGTTATGACAATAGTCTCGGAATGTATGTTTTGATGACAGCGACGGTTGCGAAGTGGACGATAGGGGCAGCGGAAGTCGAGCGCTACAAAACAGTGGTCGATATAAAGAAACTCTCCATCTAAGTTGGCGGCGATGAGATAGGCGGGTCGACGATGTCGGATGGCACGAGGAGTGGTGTTGACGACAACAAGAGCTTGTAAACTTATATGGGAGCTTGGAGCTTCTGCGCGTTCAGATCCAATGTTTATTTACTGTAGCTCTGGGACAGGGATGCTGGCCGCTAACCCGACATGCCTAGTGATGGTGCACGGTTCGCTCTTTCCCGAAGACGCTTCCGGGGCTCACGTCATAGCCGAAACGCGTATCCCAAATCCCATCACAAAGACGACCTTGCAATGCGCCCACGTACTTGTTAGAGATGATGCATCAAGAACTGGTCGAAAGTATCAATACTTATTTTGGAGGACCTTGGAGCAATTTCAGCCATTTTGAACACCTGCATCGATAGATACACGTACCCCGCCAAAGCCTTGGGTTCGACGCGTCAATTTGAAGATGAGTCAGCTACACCACGCGAGCTCACGTGGCGATATCCCGACAGCGAGTTGTTCTAAACATCTTGTTTACCTGTTCTATTGCCATAACAACATGTAGAGTCATCCTCCAATTGCTTTGGATGGCCTCAAATGTGGTCGCGATCACAAAGGTGGTCTGGAACTCGCAGACACGATCCGCTGTCGGGCGCCCACAGCCTGTCGATCAGTGCACTGCCGCCAGATATCAAACGGCAGCCTACGCTTGTCTTTGTTGCGCTGCCGTTGTCCCAGGCAGTATGGAGAGATGTACTGCGTCTGGGGAACGTTGGATGCCCTGAAACCGGCGCTGTTATCGCGTCTTTCCTTTGCTTTGTCCCCGCGGCGCTGTATAGGCCGAGAGCCTCACCGACTAACTGTGTGGACCGATGACATCCGTAGCGAGATCGCATGGAGCCAAAAATGCGCACAACGTCTTTCGAAAAGGTCCGCGACCAGGATCCCTACTGAAACGTCTTTGCGCAAAGTGCGGGAGACATACAGTTCTTGATCGACCCCTCATCAGTTAAAGTGGTTGTCCGAGCGTTAAGCCACGGATTCGCGAAGTCGCATGCCGCGCTACGTATGTACCTTTGCCATGATCGCTGGTGCACATGCAGGGTCGGAATTTTGGAAGCAAGATAACAGACGGCCATAATCCGGTCGAAACATGGCTTCCACACCAGAGCGGGTGTGTAGACTATCCGCGGACTGATTTCTGGGCTTCGCGCTACCATCGTCATGATAGTGTGGGTCCGAGATCATCAGACGATTGCGGGAGCACATGTAGACATAATTCCTTGGTCGCGTAATTCATAAGTAGCACGAGCCTCTAGGAAATCTTGTGGCGATTCATTCAGGGACGGTTGTCTGCAAAGGGGAACTACGGAAGCAGGTGTGTGGCATTGATTGTCGCACGGAGATCTCTCCAATAGACGCCCGGCACCACTTGCCAACGAATCCACAGCGCTTCACCCACTTTCGGGACCGGAAGCTTCCTTAGCATTCTGACTAGAATTGTGTGTGAAGGCGACCCGGAATGCGGTATTCGAGGACCCTTACGTGCTCGAGAAGGGTAGACGGGGTATCAGGGTGCTAAAGCTCGTCCTGTTCCTGTTCACATGGAGGGTACGCATGGTCTCGACGACAAGCAGCGTACCCGCCCATTGGCCATGTCTGACGTTGTTGAGATCGGCTCTCTTGCGCATGTGTAGTCGACAAGCGATTGAGTTGTCCTGTGGCATGCATTCTAGTCTGATTCAACCATTGGGCGCATGGCTGCCGCCGAGTTGTCCCATGTTTCGACTTCGCAGACAAGCACACAAGATGGGATGAAGACTAGGGCATCTCCCAGCTGCAGTACCGTTGCAGCCCTTTTGCGTGAGTGAGGGTGGGCTGTTCTTTGCGGTAGTGTATATGCTAGCTACCAATGGAGGCGCAATCGCATATATGCAGCAGGGAGGATGCGCTGTACTGTTTAGACGCACTCGACGATACAAATTTGATCCCAAGAGACTGTGAATGCAAAGGCGACCGCCATTTCGTGGTTCGAAGCGCATCTGGAAAGTGCGTCGTGACCTTGCGTGGTCCTAGTCGGTGTCTCTGTAGTTCGCTTGCGACATCTCTCATCTGCAACCCACCCTCCACACCATTCTCCTCAGTCCCACACCACCTCCTCCTTGTAAGCCTCCAACCTTCCCATCAAGCTCCCGATCCCTCTGAGATCGCACTCTGGCGCTCAGATAGAGTCAATCCTGCTCTGCGCATTCGGGTCGCTAACCTGCCATCCGCAGCCAGCGGCGGTAGACTCACGGAACCGGATCGAAGCATCTACTGCCCATCTGGCTTTGTAGACATCACTGTTGGTATGTACATGTCTCCATAGGCGCTTGCGACCGAGTTGGGCTCTACACTTGGTTGCGACGCCGCCCCTGGGTCTTCCGCGCTGTCGTCACATCCTCCCTGTAGTCCGCAAAGGGCCAGCGGTGACGAGTCGTCCAACCGCCTCCAGCCCAGCACAGGCGCCGTGGAACAGGACAAGGAGCACCCGACATGCCATCGAGCCTCATCAGCGACCATCTGCTAACATGTCGCCTTCCAGGCTCGACGCCCGTTTATCCTTCCCCGACCGCCTCTCGTCCCAAGCCCTTGCGACACCGGCAGCATCGGTGCGCCCCTCAGCCACCTACACATACAGAAGCTCGTTTTAGGGGCTTTGGAACACACTCTCAGCATCCGAGACATTGGTATGCAAGTTTCCAATATGCTTGCGGAACCGCGGGTTGCTGGCGCACAGCGCTGCCCTGAGGTGGAAGAGCTCCTAGCGGGCCGACACCACGACACCATGCATCCCGTATCTGGCTACGACATGATGCCCCAGAGGGAAGACTCTGGCATCATGGACGTCTACCCAAGCACCGAGACGGGCTCTGCGCATGAGTCCATGTCGCCCTCCAAGCAGACGCCCAAGAAGCACGTCAGCTTCGAGCTGCTGCTCCCCCAGTCTCCAGCCCACAAGGCCCGACTACCCATGCGAGTAGACATATACCCTCACGATACAACAGACTCCATCATCACCACAGTTAAGAACTTCTATGGTCTGTATGAGCGTCGAGGCGTCATCTTTGAGGACCGTCACGGCAACACGCTGATTGCGCGCTTCGAGAACTTCGAACACGGCATGACCGTCTACGTCCGAGTCTCACCAGAGACTCTCGATGCTGATGAATACTCTCCCGACCCCCATCAGCAGACCATCTCGCCTCGTCGCGCGCGACCCCACCTCGACGAAGCCTTCCAAATGCTCCCACCCATCCAGCACCACCAGGGCTCGAGAGCGGGGTCCCGCCATGCACGCCAGAGCCACTCCCCACACCCAGGACGTGGGCGGAGGAGCGCTTCAGTCAGCAAGCGCATGCGACCGTCCATAAAGAGTCGCGGCAACAGTTCGCATGGGAGCTTCGCTGACGCCAATGGCGACGGCTACAGTGACAGCGACGAGGAGCATGGCTCTGTCAGCAGCTCGCGACGCTCGAGGAAAGAGCCACTGGCGAGCGCTGAGATCAGCGTTGATAACATTGTTGAAGGTGGCCGCCGCAAGCGTGCAAAATTCGACAGCTCGGTAAGTACCTACAGTGGGCATGTATCGTGCATTAGTCTGACACTCGTTCCTTCCATAGGAGCTGCCTCTGTTCGTACCGCCTCAAGTCCCCATGACTGCTTCACAGTCGTCCGTATCCCCTCAGCGACGTATCAGCGGAAACACTGCTGGCTCGCCATACTCTGTCAATCAGCAGACATTCTCATACTCGCATCCGCTGCCCTCGCCGCAGAGTTATGGTCAGGGTGACAGTTCATACCTTCAAGGACTGGTCACACCCTACTCTACATCGAGCAATCAAGCTCAGGGGTACAAGTCTCGGGCGCGCGGCTCAGCGCAGCATTCCCACTATCGCTACTCTGGCAGCGGTGGAGCGCTCCCTACCCCTGACACCACTCTTGCGAGTATCAGTGTCATCTCTGATGAGGATGTCGCCCGTCAGCTCATGCGCTTGGGTGATGCGTCCAACTTCTCCACCCATGGTCGTACTTCCACTTCCACGCTCGATGATGCCTTTAGCGGAAAAGCCGCAGCATCTTCAAGCGACGAGAGCGCTGACGGTAGCGAGGACGAGAGTGAGCTTCCTCCTCTCGCGTACAACATGGCTCGGGCAATGAACGACCACACTCGTGTTTACGATGAGGCTGAGAGTAGCGGTGAGGACTACGAAGACGACCGAGATGAGTCTTTCAAGGGTCACAGTGATGAGATGATGTCAGGAGAACACGGCCATCGTGTGCACTCTGGTATCATCAAGGCCCATTCCGTGTCAAGCAAGTCCGGCAAGCCCAGCAAGCCTCGTGCCGTCTCTAAGAGCAAGTCCAAGGTCAATGGCACTAGCAAGACTCCATTGTCTCCGTCCTCTCTCCCCTCACAGTCACGCAAGGCTTCTAATGCGTCTTTGAACTTCCAGCATCAGCTTGGCGTCGACGAGGAGGATCTCTCGAGCAAGCCACGCTGCCAGCGCTGCCGCAAGAGCAAGAAGGGCTGTGACCGCCAACGACCATGCCAGCGCTGCAAAGATGCTGGTATCGGTGCCGAGGGATGCGTCAGCGAAGACGAAGGCAACGGCAGGAAGGGACGCTACGGACGTCACATGGGGGTCTCTGTTAAGAAGAACTCAGTCTCGTCAGCAACGTCGATGGCGCCTCCCCCGATGCATGACTATCACATGTCGATGGAAGGTTACTCAATGAGCACGGCGCTTGACAAGAGCAAGAAGCGCAAGAGGTAGCGATTGTCACTTCGTCTACTGTTGTCTCCAACATCAACTCACTCACACTCTTCTCTGGCGTTTTGGATAGCAAGCCCTCGCATTGCATCATTGGGTGGTATCTTTAGCGGCTGCCCGTCCTCTCCTTTCAGCAAGAGTAAAAGTGTCTTTTCACAGTCATTCTTACAGTTGTGCAGCGATGAGCGAGCAGAAGTTGAAATTGCTATGGTGTTATAGGTTAGAGATGGGCTGGACAGGGGTATGGGAGGCACGGCTGGGTAGAGGTTGGGAACGGAGTGTAGGCTGTCCATGTTGCACGCTTTGGCGACTCCATATGTTCTACTTCTAGCTTGTTTGATACAGTAGCGAATTTAGTGCGAGATATTCAATGATAAAAATTCAAAGACATGTCGTTGATGCTACTTATGTCATCTGCATGTACATGTACGGCACGAACCCTTGCACGGGTGAGGATTGGGTAACGGGTGCACAGCATTGCATGTGGTGCAGTCGGAGACGTCATGCCCAGTGTGAGTACATGCCAATCCGTGGACGACAGATGACAGTCCCGACGACCAAGGTACACTGATGTCATGCCATAGTGTGAGAGTGCCACGAGCCGTCTACCACTGGATCGGACCGGACTATTTTGAGACGAGGGCGAAAGCTTAAATCGGCAGGAACGGGTTTAAGTGGGGTCATGTGGCTTTACAGGGGTCAGGGCGAACCAAAAGGCAGAGGCTGTGCTCGTCTGCCTGCGATTATCCCCGGCATAAGGCGTGCCTCCGTTGGGAGGACAAGCCTTGTCTCGTCATACTTACTTCTTCTCCTCACCTCCCGCCCCCAGCGCCGTGTTTCCAGCCTCTCCATTACCCGGCAAGGAGAGGTTGCACGTCGACGGACGCCATCAATCGCTGCTCCTGTTGACTCGTCACCAGCCACAGCTGACGCTCCGACCGTCGATCACCCCACAGAACGCGACCGCGATGGCTGAAGGGTCAATCAAGTCGCGGATTGCGGCATTGAACCTCGAAGAAGTGCATACTCCTGTACCGGGAGCCAAACCGACGTATTCTTATGATGCCTCCACTGCTAAGAGGAAGCCGCCTCCGCCTCCGCCCAGCTCGCGCCCGCCCGCCTACTCGCGCCAGACAGTCAACAACCCACCAGTCCTCAGCAATGCGCCCACGTCGGCGCGACAACTCGGCAACCAGCCCATGGTAGTGCACGAATCCGAAAAACCCAAAGTCTCGCCCGCGCTACCTCCTCGCCCACCTCCGCGCAACGCCAGTACGCCTCGGCCATCACCAGCACTGGCACCGCGCAAGGCGTCCGAGCCAAGCGTGAGGAAGCGCGAGTCGTCTGAGTCGATTTCTACCATCGCTTCGGGCATATCGACACTGTCACTGGGCTCTGTCAAGACAAACGGGACAAGTCATAGCAATGGAAGTACTGGCACACTTTACCAGGTCAGGGCTCCAGCCTACGATCCGTCAAAGCTGCCACCACTGCCAGCCAAGAAAGCACCCGAAGACCCCAAACAGAGCAAGGCGACGCTTAACGCAATGAAGAGTAAAAGAGATTATGTGCCAGCTCAGGCGCTGCCACCCAAGCTGAAGACCCCTAGTGAGTACAGACAAAGACAGTCTGCTAGAACATGGCTAACGAAAACGCAAAGATCTTCCAGCAAGACCCTCCCTCCCTCCTAGACAGTCCATCACTCGCGAGCAATCGCCTCGGCCTGTGCCAGCGTTGCCACAGAGGCAATCTTCAAACGACACCTCCCGCACCAACAGAGCGATCGCACCACCGCCACCACGACGATCGGCGTTGGAGATGGGGTTCAACAATAAGGCTCCATCGCCTCCTCCTGTGCCTTCAACTCGGCCAGCAGCTGTTTCTTCTGACTCAGCACCGAATCTTGGAGCACCGCCACCCGTCCCAATGTCATCAAGACCAAACCTCAGCGCAATCATGGCTTCCAAGCCGAAACCAGGTGCAGTTGCAAGTTGCCTTGTGTGTCGGGACTTTTCAGGACCAGACAACCATGCTGCGCAGTTTCCTCGTGCTCAACTCCCCTCTTCCGATGTGGGTTGGCTTGCTCATCAACTGTGCTCTCAATTCTCCTCACCTACTGATAAAGCGCGAGCTATATTCACTTGGCTGCATCACAACGTTGACTACGATGCTCATTCGTTCTTCAACGGTACCATTTCGCCTTCTACCCCCGAAAAAACTATCGCATCAGGCCTGGCAGTATGCGAGGGGTACGCCGGTCTCTTCGCTGCTCTAGCTCTGAAAGCAGGTCTCGAGGCTATGGTATGTTCCGGTGCATCGAAAGGCTACGGCCATTCACCTCTGGAGCCTGGACAAGCTGTGCCACCCTACAAATCAACACATGCTTGGAATGCTGTCAAAATCGACAACGGAGAATGGAAGCTCATCGATTCCTGTTGGGGAGCTGGAGCGCTTGGGTGTCAGAACCGTGGTGAAGGGTACGTTTGAAAATATATTTCACTATTCGTCGATGCTGCATTAATGACTAACACCCACCAGATACATACGGTCCTTCAACCCTCGCCAATTCACCATGGACAACAACGAGTTTGGGTTAAAGCATTACCCGGGGGAGGCTTCTCACCAATTCCGTACTGATGGACGCATTATGTCATACGAAGAGTTTATGCGAGACGATCAAGGTGGACGCGTTCTTATATTCGGTGACGCCTCCAAGGAACATGGCCTTGGCGAGCGAACATTCGAACCATCACAGGCACAGATCAAAGTAAACGATCCATACGCCCCGGCGGTTGTTCGATTCCAAATGTCTTCGGTCTGTCCGCACTGGGACAATGCGCGCCATGGCAAGGGTGCGCCCTACGTTATGCTTCTGAGCGTTGCCGGTAGAGACGGGCGGAAACCGGACTACAAGACGTTCAACACGGACGGGCGCACTTGGTGGCTCGACGTACCTCGCATCGACCTCGGTGCACCGGGCCAGAAGATTTCCCTTAATGCAGTTACGGTCTTCAACGACAAGGATGCGCGTGGCATGAGCGTTGCTGCTTGGAATAACAAGACGGCGTACTCGTGCAAGTTTGGGGGCGTAGCCCAATGGGAGCTTGTTTGATGGGACACTGGAACATCGCGATTGACACGACGTAGAAGTCACTCGTGATGATGGAATTATTGTATGGATACCCTGGATTTGATGCGCTTTGCTTTTGGGCGATGATGCAAGCTTCTTTAGACAAACACGCGTAATGAACAATAATTATTCTTCCTTCTGTCTCCTATTCATGTGCTTCAGCAGTGTATGCGAAGAAACTCCTTTTCGATGAATTACACCTATTCCAGGTAATATACCCTAACGCTATATGCGTGGTCACGTTCTGGATAAAGTGAAAGGAAGAGGTTCATGTACAGCTCTGGGGTAGGTTTTGGTGTTTACGGTACAGTTTGGTGAAGAGCGATCTCGTTTCGTGTTCAAGCACCTGCATGTGAAGATGCAGCCCTAGATCAACAGCCGTTGGCGGCTGGTCTGTGGCTGACCGCTAGCGCCTTAGCACGATCCGCGAAATAGTGCACCTGGGGTATGGGCTCCTACCTGAGTGCTCTCCACCCTCAACTCGCCTGACCTGGGGGTCGCATCTTCGTCAACATTCTTCACGATAGCCCGCGAAGTCGCCTGTGAACAATTTTTGCCTTCCGCCCGGCTTTCAGGAAATATTGCTCCCCGAGGAACTTTCGCTTCGTCCTAAGGCTTTGGAGAACCTCCCTCGCCCACGCCCTCCACCGCCAATATGGCTTCCACTTTTGTTGGCTTATCGGTCGCGGTGACACTACAGAGCCCTCCAGGTGCTGTCGTGCTGGGTGTGGTTAGTGGTGTTGATCAACACACGGCTACTCTGACGCTTCAAGATGGTACGTTCTGGTCGGAGGCATTGTTTATTTGTGGGCATGCGCTGATGGTTACAGTCTTCTTCCCAAACTCTGGTCACCGTGTGCCTTCGTATAACGTCGAAGGACATATGATCGCCGATATCAAAGTCACCCCCTCTGCGCCCGCTCCTCAACCTCTTCCATCGCGATCCGAGCCTCCTGCATACCCGCGATATCCCCAGAACCATGTTCAGCACCCGCCACCGCATAGCGGACAACAGATTCCGCATCTCATCAGCCAACCGTCGTCGGGCCCGCCTACAGGCGCACCTGTCTACCAGAACGCTCGTCAAGCGCCCCGCCAAGTCGCTCCTCAGCCAACTCCAGCTGCGCCGTTCGTCGACCCCGCGATTCTTAGCATGGGGAAGCGCACCTCGACAGTTCCTTCGTTGAGCTCTGCCGTTGCTGCGCCTCCGCAGGAAGCTCCTGCCACGCCCATCAAGCCCATAGCTGCTGCAAGCGCTGCGGCTTTACCGAAAAACACGTCTCCGTTCGTGGGCCATGCAAAGAAGACAAACGTTCGAAAGCCGAGTGCAGCCACTCTAGAGGGCCCATTTTCGTCGCTGGACATCGCGGATGCTGAAGAGGCAGATAGTGAGGCGCGTACAGGACAGCTAGCTGCGCGAAGGGCAAGCATTACCAAGACCAGGACCGGCAAGCCAATGGATGATCCCAGTCCGCAGAAGAACGACGACAATGGCAAAAAGACTCGAAGAGGAGGCAAGTCTCGTAAGAAGGAGCTTGCTGCTCAAGAGAAGAAGAATGGCGACGTCGAGACTGTCAAGAAAGGGTATGTGATATTCAGATTCAGAGGCCACTAGTCCCATGTACAGAAACTAACTTCTACTAGCAAAGGCAATGGTTGGAGGAACACTCCAATGCTACAAGCCGCCGAACAGCCACAGACAAGAACTCCCGGGGTTATAGGCGGCAGAGTCGGTCTTGCAGCGGCAAACGCTTCGAATCGTAAGACAAAACGGCAGCAGGCGCTCGAAGCCACAAACGGTTGGGCTACAGAAGACGCGACAGATATCCAGGACATGCCCGAGTTCGACTTTCAGAGCAACCTCTCGAAATTTGACAAGCGCACGGTGTTCAATCAAATCAGGAACGAGGACACAACCGCAGATGAGGATCGTCTGGTCAGCTTTAATCGCCTGGCAAGGCCTGGAACACACGGTGGAAAGAACCTGCATCCTACAGAGAATGTGCTAGATCGGAAGCTGAAAAGTACCACAAACACAAGCTCTGAGGAAGAGGAAGATGAGTTCGGCAGCGGGCGCAACTCTAGACGTGCAATGTCCAGAGCCTCAGTCAAAAGGGCGCCAACACGGCAAGGCAGCGGTGTCCAGGCTGACTTGGATATGATGGGCTCAGGTGTATTGCCGCGCACCAACCGTTCGTTCGTCTTGAATCGACCTTATGCATCCTCACACGCTACCGGTAGCCCCAGGCCGGGTCGCGTTGCTTCACCACCAGAGTCACCTCTTGACTCGAGCGCGAAGGGCTGCTTACGTCTCACATCAAACAACCGCAAGTGCTTCGCTATCACTCCTGGTGCCATGCTGGCGGTCGAGGAGACTGCTGAAGTGGAGTTTGGTCTAAACGAGGATATCATGGCAGAGAGTTCAGGACGAGGCATCGCAGAAGTTGCTTTGACCGCGATAAATCCAGGCGGCAGACGTCTCGCACGCGACAATCCCAATGCCAACCCTGTCATTGTCGTCTTAGCTGGCAATCACCGTGGAGGTGCACGCGCCGTAGCAGCAGCACGGCACCTTGCTCAACGTGGACCGAAAGTCATGGTTGCACTACTTGGTTTCGAACGCAATGCAGACTGGGACAAGGATATCCGACGCCAGGTCGAACTTTTCCGGAAGTTTGGCGGCTCCGTTCGTGCATGGAGAGATACGGAAGAAGCTCTGAAGCGTCTACAAGCACCACCCGAGCTCATCATAGACGCCCTGCTTGGCCGTCACAAGGAGTTTGAGGCGCTTGGCGATGAAGATCAACGAGTGGTCCTCAACATTGTAGGTTGGGCAAATAAGTCAAGAGCAGCCTGTCTCGCTGTCGAAACGCCGTCGGGTGTGGGCGGCTCTACGGGTGAAGTCTCTATCTTAGAAGGCGAGCCACTGGAAGTTCGCGCGAAGTACATCGTATGTCTCGGTGCACCACGAACAGGTCTTGTAAAAGCGCTCCAGAACGGTGCTGGACGCGATCCACAGTGGCTTATCTGGATCGTCGATATTGGTGTCAACAGACCCTGGCGCAATGCTGGCATCAGCGGTGGCAAAGGCATAAAGTTTGGCGAGCAATGGGTCGTACAGGCGCAGTTCGAGGAACCAGCTACAGTGGACGGCGCACGGGCTTAGGATGCCTTTATGTCAGAAGCTGAAGAGGACTCGGGAGAAGATTACATCGTCAAGCGTTTGCGCCAGCGGCGCCAGCGAGGTGCAGTACAGAGGAGCTCGGTTTTGCCGAGTCTCAGCTAATACTCAGTGTGCATCCTGATTGTATTCGAGGATACCTCTTCAGGCATGACTACAGCTTGGCGAACAACGAGCTTTTCGGCAAGGAGTTGGAGGATGGATACTGTTGTCTAAGTCAGCGGATCTGTGATTTTACATGCATTGCGTGGGCGTTTGTCGTACGTACGTGTTGAGCATTGGCTTCCACTCTGGGTTGTAGGATGATTAACGGCATTATGGGACACCAAAAGCTATCGTTGAGTATTGAGTAGCCGAGGGGCATGGCGATGCTTAGAGCACGCGATAATACATCGTACTGAAGAAGTCTATAGCCCTATATTCGTCGTCTGTATATGTCTTTATCCTGGCCAACAAACATTCACACAGTCTGAGTTAGACAATGTCCACTCTCCGGATCGCATGTCAGCTCAACACGAGTCTCGATGACAGGACCGCACCACACGTGGAGGGTTGTCATCTGTTGCGATGGCGCGTTGCGCACTCTATCGTCCTATGGTTGTGACAGGAGCGTGATTGCGGTACCAGATCACAAATCCAAGGATGGATGCGCATTGAAGCATTGTTCAATACTATATTACCATGCAGTGATCGCAGTGGAATCAAAGGTGAGACCCAGCCTTCTTCCACTTGGGGCTTGTGTCCTTGTCCAGCCCGGTAACAAAACCGCATACCCTTTTGACAAGATCCTGGACTACTTCTTCAGGGTCATCGTCAAGATTGTGGTGTGCCCCTGGAATCACGCCACCATCTTCGTCATCTACAACCCCGCCGCCTTCGCGAATTATCCTTGTCCAGCGCTGAAGCAATGCTGCTCTGTCGATTTTTGCAGGCACATACGGGTCTTTGGATCCTAGCAGGAAGCATACCGGCGTGCTCTTCGGGATTTTGCCAAACGTTGTCGCAAAGTGTTCGTCGGAAAGGTCGCTCGAGAAGTAGTCGTCATCTCCACCCTTTGCGAGGAGGGAGTATGCCCGGTATGCGTTGAGTGGTCCCCCCATATCCTTGAATACAGCGTTGCTCTCGGGCGACAAGATCTCCTTGGCTTTGCCCATATCGATCAACTCCTTAGATTTCCTAATCGCTTCTTCCAGCTCTTTCCTTTTCTCCCCTTCTTTATAGTAGTCCTCCCATGCCTCTCGATCACTGACACCGCCCTGCAGTATGACCCCGTCCAATGGCTCCCTCCCCTCGTGTCCCTTCCCAAGCAGATATTCCATGATATCTTGACATCCCGTTGAGTGGCCCATGATTACAACCTTCGTCTCTGGCCGTAGCTTCCTAAAGTAGGACACGCATTCGCCGAGCTCACGCGCATCGCGAGCGAGGCTACCAGTACCCCAGCCTTTGTAGGACGAGGAGATGAGGACTTCGGATATGACCCAGTCAGATGGAAGTTTACTGGCGATGGCGGAGGGGTACGGAACGGTGAGGAGGCCATCTGTTAGGCCTCCGACCCAGAGCAAAGTGTTTGGCGCTGCGCTGGATAGTGGGCGAGGGTTGTGCTCGAATGCGATGAGGCGTTTGGAGTACTTATGAGCGATGCCGTTATATGCCATTGTTGCAATATTCAATTAGGGACGGGAAGACGAATCAGACACAAGTTCAGTCAATATTCTTTGGCAAAAGAAGCTCTTTTAGTGGGTTCAGACAATGATTTGATGAGAGTAGATAATAAGCACGAGCAAACAACAATCGCGTCGATGAAGCTCGACGCGACGTTTGGTGGGGGCGCAGATCAAAATCTAATCAGATGGCGGGGTAGCTTCTTTGCTGCCATCTGAGCTCTCTCCAACTCCTCTCAGCTTTCACATAAATGCACTCTTCACCGCTACAACCAAGCGTTTCAAAATTAGTCTGGATACAATTAAAGGATCTAAAGACTTGTGACACTGTTCGTGTTTGTGGGTTTGCTGATTATAATTTGATGTTGGCAGCAAGACAGAGTTTATTAGATATGCACCTATTCCAAGTTTCTCCCGGATGGGGTTTGTGATGCCAGAGCATCTAGAGCTAAGCCATATCGACTGAACTCTGTGTGAGTTCCGATTATGGTTCCCGAAGATGAGCAGGCGTCCTCGCTCGTCAGCTTGACTAGGGTACAGATGATGTCCATTGTTAGTCGAAGCTGCATCATTTACATCTTCTTTTGACGAAAACGTCTTTGCAAGGACACGACCTTTGCAGTGGCAGAGAAAGCTGTTTGTGCCCAAGGTTGTTGATCGGGCTACGTGCTGTAAGCGCTCCGGTCATCCGATAGCAATAGCGAAATAAGCAAGCATGTTCCCATACAACAACCTTAACATAATCCATCTTGCACCAAGTGAGGCTTCTCGTAGTCATTATGCGTGCTGAAGGAGCGGTTGGAAATCGAGCAGCTGTTCCGGCATCACCCAGAAGAGGAAGCCGGCACCTCTGCTGACATCTCGGGGTTCGGGGGAAGGTGCGACCCCACTGGACGCAAGCTACCCCTCACAGCCATATGCGTAACCCCACTTAGAGCTCTGGGGCTCTCCAAATGCCTGGAAACAAGACGGAACACGGACGCGTTTCCGTGTGGCCACAGCAACACGGCATATGTCAAATGACATGAAGGATTGGGCGAAATGATTTACGTGTCGTCGGGTCGGGTATTGAGGGATTGATTAGTTCCTCGTCATGCTCTTCAATTTCCATCTGCCCTTTGTGCAATCTCTCCATACTTTCGGCACATTCCATTGAATTGAACATACAACAGCCACAATGTCGTGTTAGTATCCTTGTCTTGCATACACACGAATTATCAGCCTAACACACGCAGCGAGACACTTCATTCACGACCCGACACACCTCGTCGAAACTGCCCTTCTTAGCATCCCACAAACAAACCCTTCGGTGCAATGCGATATAAACAACAAAATCATCTACCGTAAGAATGGCGCATCACAAGTCAGTATAGTTTCTGGAGGCGGCAGCGGTCATGAGCCCTCATTCGCGTCTTTCGTCGGTGCTGGCCTACTATCTGGAGCAGTCGCAGGCACAATCTTCGCATCTCCAAGTGCAGAGCAGGTGCGAAGATGTATCTTGCATCGCATTCAGAAAGACAAGGGTGTACTCGTGATAGTAATGAACTACACCGGCGATGTGTTGAACTTCGGCATGGCAGTCGAGAAGGCGCGCGCTGCAGGTATTGAAGTCGACATGGTGGTGGTCGGCGACGATGCAGGTGTAGGGCGCGCAAAGGGAGGAAAGGTTGGACGAAGAGGTATTGCGGGAACAGTACTTGTACAGAAGACTGCTGGTGCGCTCGCTGCGAAAGGGTGCGCAACCATACCAGTTCTATGGCTTACAGGTTGACGATCGCTAATATGACTGTAGAGCGAGTCTCAAGGATGTAACGCACATGGCACAACTCGTCGCAGACAACACCGTCTCGATTGGATCTTCCTTGGCGCATGTACATGTTCCAGGTCGGCGAGAGGCAGAGGAAGACGAGCTTGCGGAAGGCTTAGTTGAGATTGGAATGGGCATTCACAACGAAGCCGGCTCTGAGCGCAAGTCGACCGATCTCCCTGGCCTTGTGAAGACGATGTTATCGCACTGTTTGGACGTCGCGGACCAGGATCGCAGTTTCTCTAAGATCACCGACAAGGACGATGTGGTGCTGCTAGTCAACAACCTAGGAGGTGTCAGTCCACTCGAGCTCAGTGGGATCACGAACGAAGTCGTCGACCAACTAGCGGACAACTTTAAGATCAAACCAGTGCGAATTCTGGCTGGTACCTTTATGACCAGTCTGAACGGACTGGGCTTCAGCGTCAGCTTGCTAAGAGTCGCTGACGCTTCTATGCTTGAACTGCTCGATGCACCCGCAGAGGCGAGTGGCTGGTCAGCGGCAATTAGTAGCAGCACATGGGCACGACGAGAAGAAGCGAAAAAGAGCGAGGAGCAGGTAGACGAAGAAGAGGTCCAGCCAAGTGACCTGAGGGGTAAGTACCTGCCGCGTTGCACAGGGTATGTGCTAACTTGGACAGTCAACTTTGCTCAGGCCAAATCAACATTGGCAGTCGCATTGAACAGGCTCATCGAGGCTGAACCAGATGTGACCAGATACGATACTATAGTGGGGGACGGCGATTGCGGCATCGGACTCAAGCGCGGCGCAGAAGGTAAGTTATCGTCACGTGTGCATTGTTACCTAGCGCTGACACCCAGCAGCAATTCTGAAGATGCTCGAAACGGCAGATAAGACGGATGATCTGTTGATCCTCATGAATCACATCATTCAAGTGGTGGAACTGGCTATGGACGGCACGTCAGGCGCAATCTATGCCATCTTCCTGAATGCGCTGGCCCATGGGTTGCGACAAAATGCGCCTTCGTCACCACAGCCTGTCACACCCGCAATCTGGGCCAAAGCCCTGGACTCGTCTCTCAAGGCACTTGGCAAATACACTCCTGCCAAACCAGGAGACCGAACACTGATGGATGCGCTCTATCCGTTCGTTGAGACATTATCCAAGACGGAAAGTATCGAAAAAGCGGCTGCAGCGGCACAAGGTGGTGCTCAAGGGACGAAAGGTATGAAAGCGAGCTTGGGGCGAACGGTGTATGTTGGAGGCGAGGGATTCCAGGAGGTGCCAGACCCTGGCGCGCATGGCCTTGCAGAGCTTCTGTTGGGCCTGAGTGATGGATTGAAGAAGTAGAAGTTGGGTATCGTTGTTTGATTCGTTCGGTGTTCATCGCCGTTGCGACGGTTATGTAACTTTTAATTCATCCAAACTCCATTTCGCGTGCCTCGATCTGGCGCTACCGTCCCAAATGCCCACTACATCCGAGCTCTTATGATAGCAAAACAAGAATGACCGAGTCGCCTCGTAGGAACCTAGATGGATCAGCGAATGCGCATATATGATTGGTATGTGAACGCACAGCTTAGAGATGAAGCGATCCTTGTTAACCTTCCTTCCGTAGCTGCCGTTGGCTAACCGGGGAGTCTCAGTCCACATCTCTTTCGCGTTCTCGAGAACCATATTGCAATGACGGTCGAAAGCCTTCACACGTGCGAGAATCTTGCGGTTGTTTCGGCACGAGATTAGGACTTGTGTGCGCGAGCGGACGGCGGTCTGGAGGATAGAGAGGGGACCGGTGGTGAGCTCATGTTCTTCGACCTGGGCAACTTCGTACTCGCTAGGCAGCAATGTCAGTATGTATAGGAACTGAACGTGCAAGGGCGTACATACGTCAACTCAGAACGGGGCTTGGAAAGAAGCTCTCTGCGCAATGTTAGCTCATATAGCGGTGAACTGTCTGGCAATGATACGTACTGAATCTTTGCGTCCACCATTTTGTCGGCTTGGATATAGGGCAAAGAGGAATAAGCTTGAAACTATCACAGTCAACTTGCAGCTCTCAAGCTTCTGCCTGCGAATTTTGATATACTGCGCGGAGGAATAGCGCGCAAGGATGAGGTCCGGCAAAAGATATGCACAGACCAAGGGCGGGTTGACTGACCTAGTGTGAGAAAGGAGGACACCACGGCAACGCGCTTTGATGAGGTGGATCGGTCGGCGATGGTATGAAGCAGGGCGATGAAGTGAGCGAGCTTGGCAGAACTGGGAGCTGGAGCTGCACTTTTTCCGTTGCCGAGCCAATCAACGCGTCGTCTGTGGGGCTGGAACTTTGGCATGGAAGGTGCGTCACGCGTCTTTGTCCTCCCCGCGTTAGCGCGGCGCGGGTAGCGTCAAACCTCCGAGCTCGTGCGTCCATCTTCACTTTCACCTCACGACATCATTAACGACGCCATCCACGTTCCTTTTCTTCCCTTCTTCTACGCGTGCTGCTGCCTGTTTCGAAAGTATCTGCATGCGAAAGTACTTAACGACCCATTTACCCCGCCAATTCGTCTTCCAGTCGCTTTTAGTCTCGCTTCTTAGTTCACCTGCAACGCGTTCGCGATGATCGCACGCCAGCCACCGATCGCGATATAACACTGACCACCACCCTTCTATCCACGACAACCTTCCCATCCCCTCTCCAACACGGCCAGCCTATCCTTTGTCAACTCAATAGGTAGCCATGTCGACACCATCTGGTACTACGCCGGATCTCGGTGCTTCACAGCACGCCCACACACCGTCCGTCACCGAGGATAGCACCATGGACGAAATCCCGCGCAGGCAAATGCGAGGCAAGCATATCTGCTCATTCATCACGTTTCCTTCTAACACAGCTGCACTACAGTCAAGGTACTCTACACGTTCGACGATCAGAACAAGTCGAATTGTCTGGCCCGTCTGCCAAGCGTGCTGAATGTGCCTGTCGTATCGCTGGACGAAACTACCGAAGTGGGAGTCATCGAACTCAAGACCTGCATTCAGGCTATTGTAGCTGCAAGGTGGGTCGACTCCCTTGCTTATTGGTTGCAAGAAACAGTGCTCACTACTGCAGTCCTGAGCTCGTGGCCAAACTAGGTCATGATTTCACCGTATACGCTTACGATTTTTCCGAGTACGAAACGCCGCTGGTAGGCCAAGGCATGCTGTCATGGATTCTTGCCTCAGCATCGTCCACTCCTAATGCCCCTGCCAAAGATTCCCAAACCATGGTCACAGGTCGCGTGTGCAAAAATATTCTTGGCATCTTTTCGAATGGGGTCAAAGAGACTCTAGAGGTCAAACTGAAGCTGGTGCCTGTTCCGACATGCATGCAAAAGGAATACGTGGAGAACATGGAGCGGTATCACAGTCTCAGTCAGCTGATGCCTGAAGGTTTCGACTACAACGCCTGGTCCGACTTTCTAAGAGAGAATCCAACATTAGGTCATTTGGCCCAACCAAGCCCATACCCTGCACAGCCTTCGCCACGACCTTCCATTGGTGGTGTTGAGCCATTCCACCAGATGCTCACACGCCATAGCCCGTCCCAGGAGCCACCCCGGAATGACTCCTTTTATGATCAGTCCAACATGTCTTTCATGTCTCAGCCGACTAGGGCATCCAGCCCTGCTATGAGTACTCTCTCATTCCACCACTATCAGTACAACCCTCCGTCACGACCAACGTCACGGGCCTCCGTGCGGAGTGAAGCCGCCCCGCCGCCTCAGCAACTGCACTTCAGCGATCCTTATGTAATCGAGCAGCAGGAGGACGGACCCCCAAAGAAGAGGGCTCGAATCACGCAAACCACGAGGCCTCGGAACACGCCGCTGAACGCCCATAACGATTCACTGCGAGTGACGGCCAGCACAGCAGCATCTGTACGTCTCCTCAAACCTGCTCTTAGCACCTCAGGAGCTGCTTCAGACATGGTGCCCCGTGCGCCAACCCCTCGCCCTGGCGAGAAGTTCGGTCAACGAGGATCACGCCGCCCTCCAGCCCCAAGCACTTTAAGACATGCATCTATGGATGGAGGACGACCGTATATGTCTCCTTACGAGTCTAGTGCCTTCTCGGATAATGCACTGGAGTCGGCGGACGAGAGAGATGGAAGCCCTGGAGATACCCCAATGCCTTCGTCGCCTCCTATTGGACCGAATCGAACCGCGTCACCCGATGGTTCAAGCCCGAATCTCCCAACACTGCCCCCGAATGACTCCGGTTTCGTTAGCGATATGCCAACAAGCCGAGATGGTAATAGTATGGAGCTTGACAAGCTTTGGCATGATGGAACATTACAAGAGCAATGCCGCAAGTCTATTACACAGCCAGTCACTGAGAGCATCGAGATGGACATGGGGACTGCTCATGCCTTCGATTTTGATACCATGGACCAGGATATCTTCAGCTCGGTATATTTCCAGGGTCAAGACACGAATGACGATAACGATCTGACCGCAAGGCTTTCGATGGCACAACAGAGTAACAATCTTGACAATCAGACTACCGACGCATTCCAAAAGTCACGAGCTACAGTGTCGACAGCTGGCTCGCCTGATGGTATGGTGTCGCAGGTTTCACCCACAGCGGAAAGCGAAGCACCAGTCTACAGTCGCTCCGCTACCCCGAATCCTCCCCCGAAGCAAACAAAGTCGTCCAAGCCAAGAGGACTTCCCAGGTCTCATACATGGTCTGGAGCTGAGCCCATGTCTGATGCACCTACACCGTCAGAATACGGGTATCCCCGAAGTGGATCAGGTGCGAAGAGGAAAAGAATCATCAAGAACAAACTCGATGCGGCTATCCGGAAAGGCGAAATGCCAACCCATTGTGTAAACTGCGGAGAGATCGACACAGTCACATGGAGGAAAGCTTATACACGTGTGGAGAAAGGCTCGCCCAAAGACATCGAGCTATCCACTGACTCAGCTGGCACCGACATTATCGCATATGAAGTAATCGAACCGACATCTGAGGATGGCGAACTAAAATACCGCATCTTCAAGAACAACCTGACGCGCGAAGACAAGGACATAGTAGCTGCAAAGTCCTCTGATGCGTTCGAGGAGCTCAATTTGTGCAACCCATGTGGACTCTGGCTTATCAAGAAGTTTTCGATGAGACCGCAGAAGGTGTGGGATAGAGCTGCGCGCCTCGCAAACCGAAAGAAGCAGCAGAAGGTAGCACGCTCTAAGTCTATGAGCGGTGGTGACGATCTCATGTCTGACGCTGTCTTGCCTGAGTCTGAACCTGCCATGCCTGCTGAACAAGAGCAGAGTGCTTCATCTATCGATAGGACTCATGACGGGACGATGGCACCACCAGTTGTTGCGCCTAGCGCGCGTGGACTTGATTCTGAAGCTGCACAGGCTGCTCTGGAACGAGCCCTTGAGTCCAGCCCTGTCGGAGTAAGAGGAAGCAAGGCATCTCCCATCGAAATCGACCAAGATCTTACGCCGAAGCCTACAAGGCGACTGCTTTTTCCTTCACCTAGGAAGCAAGGTCGGCGCAAGACTCTGGCTGAACCACCACCTGCCCCTGTCACTGAGCCAATCGCCACTCCAATGTACCTCCCTGACGATGACGCACCTAAGAAGCCCCGTTGTCAACGATGCAAGGAGCTCAAGAGAGGCTGTGACCGTGAGCGACCATGTGGCCGTTGCGAAAACGCTGGTATAGGTCACGACGGCTGCATTCCATGTGTGACAAAGCAAACGTATTGGTTCGAGCAACCTGTGGTGCAAGTGGCTACCGTTGATCAAGAAAACCCTGACAAGGAGAACTGCCCGCCTCCTACTGCAGAGGCAGATGACCTGGCCCATCTTTTCGAGGATTCTGCCCCGCCAAAGACTACGCCGAAGAGCACACCTAAGAAGGACCAAATAGCCCAAGACCCCTTGAAGACCCCTACTCCAAGCACGCGCAAACGCATTGCCCTGACACCGAGGCGAGGTGCAGGGAACGGAGATGCGCCTTCGACGCCATCCCGTAATATCCTGACTCCTCGTACCACACGTGCGGCAACAGCTGCACCCGACACACCGTTCACCCGTCAACTCAACGCGCTGTTATCTGACCACCCAATCTCGTCACCTTCCCAGGCTATTGATTTTTCAGCCTTCCCTACATTCACCACGCCCGGTCGCACTGATGCTCAATTTAGCGAGTTTTTGCCTGACGACTTTCTTTCCAGTGATATGCCTGCGAGCAGCTCGCCATCGAAGAACGGCTCGCTGGGGCTTGGTTTTGACCTCTACGAAGATCCAAACACGTCTACTGTGGGATTATGGAGTGGAGATAACATCTTCGACAACGAAACCATGATGTTGGACATGAAGAATGGCTCCAGGCGCGGTAGTGTAGATGGAGATGACGGACCAGATGCCGCTACGTTGCTCAAGATGAACGTCGGCGGTATGACTGTTGACTTTGCCGCCATGATTGAGGAAGTTGTTGGTGCTGCCAACAAAGAGGCAGACCCGACCAAAGCCACGAGTAAATACTCAGAAAAGGATATTAAGCTGGAGCCTGAGAGTCCAGAGGCTGAGAGTGAAGGCGCGGGCAAGACACCCGACGAGCCTACGGTTTGAGGCTTAGGACTTATCACGGCGTTACGATTCTACATACCCATCACTCTGATTACCAAGGCGTTTAGCGATCTGCGTATTCATGGCATGAACAAACGAGGGATGATCAATTTTGTATACTAGTTCTTACACATCTGCTCAGAGCTTATGCTCAGCAGGCTGTTCGCAAATAAGCGCGATTCACGTCTTTATATACCCAATAAACAGCTTAGACTATACCTGTTCTTCCTTCATTCCGCTCTCCTTGTCATCCAATCTTCTGGCTCTACCCACCATTGCAGACTGAACATGTCTCCCGAACTGTTGTGTTTGTTCGATTAGTGTATGTCCGCAGAGAGTATATGTGGCGTTGTAGAAGTTGTACATTACGCCGTGTGGGGGCCGAGAATGTGAGGTTGTAAACGAAGCCGTTCGATCTTCTGATAGACTGTACTTGGGTTACAGAGTTTGTGGTAGGTAAGTATCGGTATTTTTGTGAAATGGGTAGCCGCAGAGTCTTGATAAAGCGTTGAGGATGTGAAGAACAGCTTGGGGTGAAACCTACTAAAATTCAGTGTAGGACGTCTTTGCGGAGCAACATTCATCTAGTAATAGACGACCCCTTTACAGTCACGTCAATCTCACGTAAGGTTCAGAGAATATGACAGTAGACCTCCGCGTCTTGACAGCTTGCTCACGAGGTTGAGATATTGGACATTGGGGTAGCGTTTCGAGAAGCTCGTACAATTGCTTTATGTTCGTCGTTTCGCCGTGATGTAATACTCACACGTCGGCACTGATGTATGGAAGGTTGTTTAGCTGGCGTAACTATAGACACCTTGACATGGCTACAAAGTACAGTTTTGACACGATTGACAAATTGTTGTGAACCGTGAGTTTCTCTGGAAGTCGGGCATACAATATGATGGCTCCAACTAGGTTGAGGTAATGAAACCAAGGTTCGACGGGAAACGAAAACAAGGCGGGGTGGAGGTCATTATGGTCGGCTTCAAATATGTTTCAAGCAAGAACCATCCCGGACAGACGCACAATTTGCAGTCAGACGATGACAAGGGGTCTTACTGATAAATATCGTATAAGTCGTTGGTATGTGAAGGTTGAGCCACGTGATAGCGTTGCGCAGTCGCGTTTGATGACGTCAGAGTCCTGGCAGATTGTGCTCTTACCATCGATCGCGCATATACGCTCATTCGCCATCGACAACTACACATCGACACCTACGAAGTAATACATATACGCAAGAAGGGACACACGGGAATGCAGTTCAGTATGATTTATTCGTTTTGTTCGAGCGTTGGCTCTGAACTAGTGTCTCTATAAGATACGCTGCAAGAAAACATATGCTACCATCGTCCAATCATCACTGCTTTCAACAGCTTACTGCGACGAGCCACCAGAGATGGTCAGGACCTGGCCGTTAACCCAACCGCCGTCCTCTGAAGCGAGGAACGCAACGACCCTGGCAACATCCTCAGGTACCGCACACCGTCCGAGTGGGCAGTGGTTTGCCATAAGGGTCTCGATCTTCTCCGCTGGCCAGTCAGGCGAACCGCCAGGGATGTAATGCCATGCATTCTGTGTGAACATGTCTGACTTGATTCCACCAGGTGCGACACCGTTGACGGTGATACCGCGCTTTCCGAAGTCGGTCGCAAACGCCTTGATGAAACCGATAACAGCCATCTTAGAGGCATTGTAAAGGGCGTGGTCCTTTACACCGAGGAGACCAGCTGCGATGGAGCTCATCAGAATGATGCGGCCGTTGTCCTCAATGTGCTTGTACGCGGTTTGGCCGACGAAGAACTGTGCTCGTGTGTTCAGGTTGAATACGTGATCGTACTTCTCCTCACTGATCTCCTCCGTTACGTCCCAACTCTCAGTTCCTGAGTTGCTCATGACGATGTTGATCTTGCCGAACGCCTTCTTCGCCTCCTCAAATAATCTGTTGATCTCGCTGACTTTGCTGACATCGGCCTTGATGGCTATGGCTTTGGCTCCGTTGTTGAAGCCCTTGATGATTTCGCAGACCTCGTTTGCTGGGCCTTCGGATGAGACGTAGTTGACGATGACGGAAGCACCGCGCTTGCCGAGCTCGATGGCGCAGCCCCTTCCAATACCGCGACCGGCACCAGTGATGAGAGCGACTTGTCCCTCAAGAGAGGCAGTGGGCACGTTGATGACCATTTTGATAGTCTGTAGGTATTTAGGTGGGTGTAGATGAGTGTGTAACGAGATTGGAGACTTCAAGGTATGAAACTTAAAGCTGTTGAAATGCTAACGTGAGAATGAATTGGGTATATTGATTATGTTTCTCATGTTATACCACCTCTTTATAACCGTCTTTGCTATTCGGTCTCAAACGATGGTCTTCACGGTAGGCGGCCGCGGGCGGGGATCCGAAGAAACGAACACCGAAAATAGCTGCTTCAGGGACCTGCGGCTCTACACCTTCGCGCCCGAAGCTCTGGTCGTTTTAGCTACACACAGCTAAACCTCCCGGTAGACTCTGCAGTCCCGTTTCAAATGTCGTTGACGAAGTGCCGGCTGTTGTACGGACGTCGGAAGGAGGAGGGGCCACGGTTGTCCCCCGAGTGAGGGTGTTGAGACCTGCAACGGAGATGCGAGAAGAAGTCCGACATGGCAAATACTTCAAACTGTACCAGCAGCACATTTCAGAACTTCCTGTGTTCCTGACATGTACGACTTGGGTATCTCAGGTTCCGCTGGTCGAGCCCTGATCGTCGGCACGATGCAGGGAGCGCCAGCGGATCTACCCATGGCGCAGGTACCGTTGTCGATGGGACACGGACATTGCCATCAACCTGCAGCGTTCGTCAACGACGTTGGAGGCCGTTGGAGGAACGGCCATGCGAAAACAAATCTAAGAGCGCAGAGGTGTTGATGCAAAGAATGAGGCGGTGACTGCCTGCTGCGGGATTCGGACTTATTGGTAGCGCGCATCACTGTCTGCCCCTCTGCATCTCTCGATCTCCAATCTACAACACGTTGTTACCAAACTTTGCATCATCGTCCCTCATAAGTCATCATGCATATTCTTGTGAGAATACCATATCTGACTGAGCCAATGGCAGACGCTGATAGCCATAGGTCACCAACGATGATGGTCCACCATCAGATCAGTCCTCGCCCTACGTACATTCGCTGGTGTCAACACTACAGAAGCATGGGCATACCGTGTCAGTCGTTCTCCCGCATACACAGAGGTCATGGATAGGCAAAGCACACCTTGTGGGCAAATCCGTATGTGATACGAGGCCACCTCTACTATCGATCATTATTCTCACTGCCCCAGATACAACCGACATACTACCGCCCCGCGCCCCTCCAAACAAACGCTGAAGGGCGTCTCACGAACCATGGCACAACGCACAACTCCCCTCTGCCATCCTCGTCGAACGAAGAAGAATGGGTGCTCGTCGACTCGACGCCTGCTTCCTGCGTACAGATCGGTCTCTACCACTACTTTTCAGACCGCGGCCCGATTGACCTCGTAGTCAGTGGCCCTAACTACGGTCGCAACAGCACTGCCATCTTTTCCTTATCGTCGGGCACAATTGGTGGCGCAATGGAGGCAGCAGTATGCGGCATGAAGTCCATCGCCCTCTCGTACGCATTCTTCGACCGCAACCACGACGCCAAGATCATCAGCGATGCCAGCGAGCTCAGCGCTAAACTCATAAAACATCTGTGGGATCACTGGGATGCAAATACCCACCTTTACACCGTCAACGTACCGCTGGTTGAGAACGTTGGAGAGCGCAAGATCCTATGGACGAACATGCTGCAGAACTCGTGGAAGAGCGGAAGCTGTTTCCAAGTCGTCGAAGTACCGTCCGAAGCTGACGACACACCGTCAGACATTGAGGGTCAGATACGCAAACAAGAGGAGAAGTTTGGGAAGAAGGAGCTGAAGGCGAACTCTGAAATACAAGGTGGAGTGTCGGGCACAGACAGTGGGCGAGAAACGCCTTCAGGTCAGGCCCATATGCGGTATACACACAAGCACTTCAAATGGGCACCGACTTTCAAAGATGTGTATGAGAGTGTTGAGGCCAGTGAGCCCGGCAATGATGGATGGGCGGTCGCGCAGGGCTTTACCAGTGTGACTCCACTACGGGCAAACTTTATGCATGTGAATGGGTTTGAGGGAGAAATCAAGCTGGGTGCGGGGGCTTCGTAGATTTGAATCTCGGACAAGACGATAAACCATTATGGCCAAGTGAATGTCTTGAGCTTTCAAACTATCCTTCGAATCCACGGCGACTGAGTCCACAAACCAGTTATACTTTGAATAGGGGTTGTTTTGTGAATGTGGAAAACAAGTTAACACTTCACTTGCAAGAAGTAATATCTGACCAAACTCGGGCAGTGCCATTTGGAATAGGCAGAGTGCCATATTGGTCGTTATATCAGGTTAGTATTATGTCTAGTTGTAGTCTTTTACAAACACTTCCTGGATATGCTGGGGTATCAAAATGATTCCAGTACGCCGTCTCAACGTAGTACGCCACCCATATCCTTATGTTACCCAAAGGCGCTGTCCAGCGCTTCAAAGCCGTAAATAACGCCATACGCATAAAGAACAAGCTACTCAAAATTGAAGAACGCATCATCGAATTGCGACTGCTCAGGGTTCTCGTACTCGTCCATATTGAAAAGATCTTCGAGGTCGTCTGTAGCCATGGTGCCCATCATCTCGTCATTTGTAGTCGTAATCGATTCTTCCTTCTTCTCTTCAGCAGGTGGCTCCGCGGCAGGCTTGGACTCCTCCACCTTTGGTGCTGGCTCTGGTTCTGCAGGCTTCGCAGCAGTCGCGTTGTCGTTTGTGTTCGTATTCGCCTCGGTGTTCATGTCTAAGCCTGGCAGGTCTGGCATGGTGAAATCAATGTCCATATTCGAAGTCTGGTTCGGGTTGTCGTCATCATTATCCTTGGCGAAGTCCTCGAGACCGCGTAGTAGCGAAGGCCCGTCGTTCCCGTCGTCGAGGGTAAAGTCCATGTCGCCCGAAGTGTCCATCATATCGTTGTGGGTGTTGTCGCCAGTCGTGTCCATGGCGTCGCCGAACATGGCATCGAAGTCAAACTCGGATTCCTGAGCATTGCCGGTGGTGGGCGTGCCGTCGAAGAGCGGATCTCTTTGCGGCTCCATGTCGGTCTCAATGGGCGGGGGTAGTGGCGCCTTTGTGTCTTCTTCCTTCTTAGGAGCCTCGTCCGCCTCAGGCCCAGGCTCCTTTGCGCTCGCTAGCTCAGGCGCGTCCTGCGCTGGCTCTGCTGGTGGCTCGGGCGGTGCTGGCGTCGCGGCTTTTTCAACCTTCACAGGCGCTTCCTCAACTGGGACCGGCGCACTCTTTGACTCTGCGGCAAGTCGCGCCTTCTCCACCTCGTGCTGTTTCGCTGCGGCCTCCTTCTTCTTGCGATCTTGCTTGAGCAGCGCCATGTCCCTGCGCAGGACGGTTTGCGCTAGACGGACCTCGTTCTCGAGCTCGTCGAGCGCATCGTGGAAGCGCTCAGTAGCGGATGGCACGAGGTGCTGCAGTTGTTGCTTCATGCGACCAGTGCCGCCGCCGGCCTGTTGTTCTTTCAGAAAGCGACCAGAATTGAGGTAGACGAGGTTGAGCATGGTCTGGAGTGTCTCCATATGCTGATTGGCAGCCATGACGCTGGCCATGATGGGGTATGCTGTGATGAGGTGCGGAGCGCGACAAGGTACGAGGCGCGTCAATGTGATGGCCGGAGCTGGCAGCGGGACTGCAGGTGCAGGAGGGTCCGCTAGCTTCTCAGGCTAGCGGTACGGTACTACGTTCATAGCTCCCGCTCTTTCGGGTGCCTTGTGGCCTGCCGCGCTAATTCTTCGACCCTCGCCCGCTCACCTCTCACACCTCTCCTTCTTCACCCCACAGTGGAGATTATAGCTTTGCCGTCACAGCTCGGCGCAGCGTTCGTCTCTCCTATCTCTCTTCCTCTTGTTTTCCCTTGCCTTTCCTAGTGCAGTCCGCTCTCTATTGGTAGCATTAGTCGCGCTTTCCATTTCGACTTTCCTTGCCGCCTACCCAGCAGCTTTCACCCCGCCCGCCAGCGTCGACCCTCCCCGTGGCCTTGTCGCCTTCACCTCGACCGTCGCATCACCGCCCACTTGTTCGATACCCGCAGCCGTCACTTGCGCCTCTTGCGACAATTGTCTTGTGCGCCTCTTCGCGACGACAGCCATGGCCGACCAACAGAACCCCGGGGCACAGCTCCCTCCTCCCCCTTCCGCTGGCGCTCCCGGCTACGAGAACCAGGGCCAACCGCAGCAGCACATGCCGCCGCCGCTTGCACCCGTCATCATCCCCCAGAATAACAACCCCATCCCGACCGCCATCAGTTCGCCCATGTCGGGCAACCCCATGTCCCCGACCAGCGGCCAGCCTGGCTACGTCCCCCGTCGCGCCGCCCCCGAGCCCAACAAGCGGGCGCTATACGTTGGTGGACTGGATCCGCGGGTCACCGAGGACGTGTTGCGTCAGATTTTCGAGACGACTGGCCATGTGCAGAGCGTCAAGATTATTCCAGACAAAACTGCAAGTTCTCCTTCTGTAAGATAACACTCCGCACCCGCTGCATGACTTGACAGCTGGCCGGGCCTATCTTGCATATGTTGCAGCATTCAAGTGCCGCTGACCGCTAACAGTTCAACTCCAAGGGCTTCAACTACGGATTCGTCGAGTATGATGACCCCGGCGCGGCTGAGCGTGGTATGGCCACTCTCAACGGCCGGCGCATCCACAACAACGTAAGCTTGGCCGTTGGCACAACCACTTACTTTTCTGACTCGCACAGGAAATTCGTGTGAACTGGGCCTACCAATCTAACAACACAGCCAAAGAAGACACTTCTAACCATTTCCACATCTTCGTCGGTGATCTGTCCAACGAGGTCAATGACGAGGTTCTCCTCCAGGCTTTCTCTACCTTTGGTCCCGTCTCCGAGGCCCGCGTCATGTGGGACATGAAGACAGGCAGGTCGCGTGGTTACGGATTCGTCGCCTTTAGGGATCGCGCCGATGCTGATCGCGCCCTTAGCTCCATGGACGGAGAGTGGCTTGGCTCTCGCGCTATCCGCTGCAACTGGGCCAACCAGAAAGGGCAACCTTCCATTTCTCAGCAGCAGGCCATGGCTTCCATGGGCATGACGCCGACCACCCCGTTCGGACATCACCATTTCCCCACCCATGGCGTGCAGAGCTACGATATGGTTGTTGCTCAGACGCCCCAGTGGCAGACCACATGCTACGTTGGAAACCTCACTCCTTACACCTCTCAATCTGACCTAGTGCCGCTTTTCCAGAACTTCGGGTATGTCACCGAGACGCGTTTCCAGTCTGACCGTGGATTTGCCTTTATCAAAATGGACACTCATGAGAATGCTGCCATGGCCATCTGCCAGCTGAACGGCTACAACGTCAATGGCCGTCCTCTGAAGTGCAGCGTAGGTTGAACCGTTCTCTTTTGTTTTATTTCTTAGCTCACATTTCCAATCTAGTGGGGCAAAGATCGTCCTCCGACTGGCCAGTTTGAGGGCTACTCGCCTGCAGGCGGTCCCAACTCAGCTTATCCTCAGACGCCGAGCGCGTACTTTCCTCAGTATGGTGGTGGGCCACAAGGTGGTCCCATGTCACCCTCAGGTGAGCGGCACCGGAGGAAGCTGCAGTATCGAAACAAGCAATCTAATGCGCGGGCAGGACCCAGCCCCGGCGGACAACCCTTCGCGCAGCAGCAGCAAGCCTTTGGCAACCCTGGCATGCCCTACCAGCAACAGATGCAGCAGCCAGGCAGCGCTGGTGGCTATGGCCGCGGCGCTCCCCAACAGCCACAGTGGGGCCAGTCTCCTCAGGCAGCATTCAACCAGAATGGCTTTGGAGGATACCAGGGCTAAGCACCCTATTTGTTAAGATTTGTTCCGTTCAGCCCTGTGCCCTCTATTGTTCCAACACGCCTGTTGTTTACGGGGGCGCTATTTTGGATAGCTCCGATTTCTGGTCATATCTCATCAGCTACTTGGTCTTATGTTCTTAGGGAGTCGTTATTTAATTCCGTTGTCCAAAATGGTGCGAGCGTTGTTGTCTTATGGCATGGTTGGCACATTTCTTGTGGGATATGGTTTACGGTCGTTTGGTTCAAAATGAATCTCCTATCTCGTGTTAGTTTTCTGTTGCTACAGGCTTCGGCTCTGATTACCCCTTCACTATCTATTATGACGTTGACTCTTCTTGCGAATTCTCTTCTTGATACCAAAGCGAATTCTTATTGATACCAAAGCGGGTTCTGGTTGATACCAAAAGCTTATTTCTCGCGGCGTATGCTGGTCGTCGCTGATGGGTTGGAATAGTATGTTGACTAGCATAGTACTCATGATGAATTATTTGGTAGTCTGGAGGCGTAATATATTGATATGAGACTTTGAAGCAGTAACCTTGGGAGCGTGTTACATGATTCTCTCGTGAGTTGTAAGACCTGCACTACGTACTACGTACGTCATAGAGTTGCACTGACAGGTACCTGAGTGTGGCTTAGTCCATCAGAGCGTGTACCTGCGTCAAGATGCTTGGGTCCTTGCATGTCCTATCAAGCTTTGTAGATACACCGCAGAAACACCGTTGGGATGCCCGCACGTGATGGACTGCACTAGCGCTTCCTGATTGAGACGTCGTGTCGCGTTTTGTGGGTCCGAACACTAATTGATGCTAACATTCACACCCCACCGCGCCGCAGGGTATGCAGACACTCGACATCATCTCGCTAATCCTTTCTTTTTGTCGGCGCTCTCCTTGTTTGCTGTATGCTTGTCACTCTCGGGAAGAGAGGTGCGTCGCTTAAACCGTACAATCCGAAAAGGTCGTCGCTCTTTTGCATCCATCCCGCTCGGACGCATTCGCCTCCAACACGGTCCCTTACGCACCTTCCTCGTACGCGCTTCTCGACATCACCTCTGCAGCCGCCGAACACTTCGCCTACAACCTCGCCTCGCCACGACTTCGGCTACCTCTCCTCTCGCTCCCACACAACAACTACCATGTTCAAGTCGGCGGTGCAGAACCACAATGCCATCGCGTCTGCTTCGCCCACAAACACTGCCTACAAACAGGCTTCGCTCGGAAGCGTCCTTGATCGCACTGGATCGCAGACATCATCGACGCGTCCTGTAGGAAGTGGGACGAAAACACCCGTTGGGACAACTGCACAAGGAACCAAGAGGACGTCGAGCGGATTGGCCAAGTCTCTGAGCTCGCACGAGGATGACTTCGAATACCCCACAATGACCATTGTCGGATCGGAAAAAGAGAACGAGCTGCCGGCCGCATATCATATGACATCACGCAACAATCCGGGCATTTTACCGCAAGCCC